ACACAGTGCACTTAATGTACGCATGTTTTCCGCCCTCGGCCATCTACTCCATCACGCCGCCGATTAGCGGTGTGTCTCTGTTTCTAAATGAGCTGATTTTTCCACTCTAAATGTTGCGCAATGGCCTTGCTCCTCCCTGGCAATTACTGCAAATGAACAACTGATTAAACCCGACCATGTTCCATCCAGCTACTGAAGCAAATTAGTCATTGAAGCTAATGTAAAAGTCATTAAATATCTTTATTTTGTGATTAGGCTCACTTAAGTCTTGCAATAACCCTCATGGTAAAATGAAAGTGCTTTATTCTATATAGTTTTAAACATTGATGTGGGTTGGATGTGGCACAGAGAATATTGAATAAGAGAAGCTGGCCTGAAGACAAGAAGGCTGATATGATGATGTTCTGTGAAATATTTCATCATCCAATTGTTCCAAATCTATTCTAAGTCTGTAGTGAAGGTTACGTGGGTTTTGTGGAGGACTGATAGTTTGTTACTCCATTTCATTGTTACTAGATAGTATCCCTACAGCCATATCTAATAGAAAAGTCTCAATGTAACCGTTATTAGAGAGAGATAGGTTGAATCAGTGCTTAATATCATTGGGCAATAAGACATTTTGGATTCCTGAATGAACAGAATGAACGCTACTGTAGACTAGTCTTTTCAGCTTCTTGTAATTATGACTGAATGAAGGATGTCTTTATCAGTCGCACAGAGGGGACATATTGACTAATCCGTAGGTGGAAGAACTATACATTGGGATCCATATTCATTTTCTGCATGTTTTATTTTTACTGCAATGCTTTTGCCATTGCCTTAGTTTGTACTTGTGTTAAAGTCAAATGTCCAATATAAATATTTAGTTTTAATCTCCAGAGGCAAATAAGAGGATTCAGTACTTGTTCTAATCCCCTGCATGTTTTAATGAACAGCTTTAATGGGTTTTAGTTTTTCTGAGATTGACAGGTGACAGGGCAGGTATACAATTAAAATATAGTAAAACGTTTCCAAAAATATTAAGGATAATAATAATGAGTCTCATTTCACAACATTGCGTGGAAATTATCCCACACCAAAACATGTCCATGTGGCAGTAAGCCTATAGAAACCAGCATGATTTTGGAAAAACCAAAGAAGGAATTATATAACTTTGAGAAATATACAGTACTTGCTCCTTACACTACACTATATGCTGTTAAATGTAAGTAAGTAAGTAATGTTTATTTATATAGCACATTTTACAGACCAAGGTCACCCAAAGCACTTTACACTGTTCAGAAATCAGATATTTTCCCACTCCACACCCGGTGATGACGGAAGCGCCGAACACACTGGCACATCAAAGCCCCCAACCAACACCATCCATTCACTCACTCACTCATCACATTCATACCTATTGTACATGTTTTAAGAGGTAGGGGAAACCGGAGCACCCGGAGTAAACCTACGAGGAGAACATGTAAACTCCACTCAGAAACGCCCTGTTCCAACCTTTGTGCTGAGAAGCAAGAGTGCTGTCCACTCAGCCGCTGTGCTTTAGGGAGCTTTGTGATATTGTGCCATAAACATATTGTGTATAAATGATGGATATGAATACTTTTACCGTTTTTCAAGCATTTTAAACAGTCTTCCCAGTACATTTTTATTCTTGCATTCTTAAATCTTGAAATGTTTCCAGTAAAGGTCCGATAACAGACATGGACGTTTCTGGATAAACATTCCGCAGTGTGCCAGTGTTGGACCCGGGCTTCACACTTTCCTCCTGTTTCATCGCAGTCATTTGAAAAGCATTAGCGCGTTAGTCTGCGGCCGGACTCTGTTCACAGGAAGCCCCCTCTGCTCCGATAAGGAGACGACACAGTCTGAGATTCTAGTGCATGCGACTATGGAGCAAGAATAAACATTCAGGCCAGTGGTGCCTGTTGCTATGATATGAAGATATGAAGAGCAAAAAACTCCAAAAACATATAAAACATTCCTCATGTTCACTGCAGGTCAGGGCTACAATGATTATCAGAATGAACCACTCTGTTACGCCTCTGGAGGAAGTCAGAGTAGAATTATTTTTTCTGCAACAAATTAGGCATTTGAGTCTCATTCATTATGTGTTGGAAAAAAAGTTGTTGATTATTGAAAAACGTGTGATTAATTAATTACTCATTCATGCAATCCAAGTGGCGCCACCTGCATATGAAATCCGGATCCTGTCATATCTCAAGTTAAGCAGGGTAGGGCCTGGTTAGTACTGTGATGGGAGACCTCTGGGAACACCAGGTGCTAAACTGTTATTGAGTCCTTAGGCAAGACACTTCATCCACATGTAAACTCCTCACAGAAAGAAATGAAAAATTGTGAAACAAGTCAAAACATAATTCCTTTTCCTGTCTAGCCTCATCAGTAAGCTCTGTGCCTCCAGCTGTGGTTCTGATGTGACTTTTCTCTGATCCACACTTGTTTTGATGAAGCGTGCCAATAATGTTTGTAAAATGCTTGGCTGCTCTGTGTCTCTGCTGACCACCAGTCTGCTGCACGTTGGCAATGACTTTAATGGATCTGGACACGGATTATAATATTATCAGACAGAGCTCTCTGTGGACAGTCATGTGGTCAGGTGACACACTTTGGAGCTCAGTGGAATCAATGTCCTTTCCTCTTGGACAGCGCAAATTGTGTGGACTAATTATAGCTTTATTACAGCTATTCTAGGAAGCAGCAGTAATTGGATGTCATCCGACCATTTTAAGCACATTTGAACTGAGCGCAATTAAGCAATAATTAAACGTTTGCTGTAACAAAATAGCATTAGGTCATCACAGTCTTTTTCTCTCAAATATTTACCAAAATGGAATTAGTTGATCATTTGTTTTGTTGTGTGTGAAAATAACATAAGGTGTATGAAATCGTATTACCTAAAGCAAGAAATCAAAGTTAGGATTTCTTCTAAAGTAATTTGCTTTGAGAAGATGCCTGCAATTTCCTTGTCTCATTTATTGTAGTGGTGTTGGTAAATATGTGCGCTCTTGACCCATTGACGAAAAATTACAAATCTATCTATAATGCAAGTAAAGTGACAATGCTGAAGTTGGAAAAAACTGATTTAAAACAAAAACACAAATGTAAAACAAATCTTATTGTGTTGTCATCTGAAAATTCTGGAATAGCTCCCCCTATAGGAATACATCATTCCTGCAGGTATTAAAATGCTTCACAGGCAGGGCACTAGCCATATCGAACAAGTCAGAAGAGTAGTGAGACTGCCTCATCAAGCTAAGAAAAAATCCCTTCTCAAAACCCATCTTCCAACTGTTGCATTTCCACATTTCCGGCTTTAACGGCGGTGATGGCTGGATGAGATACGCACTTGTTCCTAGAGTGAGTTAGATCCGCAACTCAGCTGTAACTCAGCGTTAAATACGTCTCGTCCTGTGTGCGTGACGTGGTTTGACTCCAAAGCCTCGGCCCGTGGAGCCCAATCCATCATGACAGAGAAAGACCCAAACCGCTGCCAATCCCCCCGTCTGCTCCTCCGCTCCATTCATTTCCACCTAATAGGTCCACCACGTACAGTAAAGATTGATATAGTCCATATAGCCCAGTAATATACCGCAGCTCACAAATCCTCTGAGCGGCTGTGGTCTGGCTCAAGTGATGATAATTCATGTTGTCACCTGTTTGGCCAGAGACGAAGGGTTTTAAAAGGCGCAAATGAACTTATTGTGGGAGTTAGGGCTTTTGGTTTGTCAAGCGATCGTTCTCCTGCTATGACAGACGCTAATAACAGGCAATTCAGTAGTTCAGTTTTTTGATGGCGAATGTACTTTAAACGGAGCATTTAAACAGCTGAAAAAAAACATCAACATGGCTTCCTTCTGATTTCTGTACTATTTTGCAGAATGTTAGGAGATCACCAGTCTCTTAACACAATCACATCGATTTGGCTTGACGTGTGCATCTAGATTGAACTAAAGTGGTCCGACAGCTTTGTGCAGTCTGACTTTTCTAATCGTGTTAAATGTAGGGAATGTCAGCAAAATGTAAAACCAAGTCCTGGATGGTTGTCTGAGGCATATTGTGGAATTCCTTTCAAACATATTGGTTGCTTAATATTTTAGCAAGGCAAGACACTGCAGAGAAAAGAGAAAAATTGTATCTGCAGTGTTATACATACCATACACATCAATTTACAAGCATTAAAGCTGCAGTACCTAACTTTCAGACCAAATATTAAAAGTATTTTGTTCCTGGCTCAGTTTAGTTATATCATTAGTTTTCATAATATGTAGTTTTGGCCTCTGTCACATCTTGCGTCAGCTTATTCAGACAGAAAAGTGAGTCAAAATAGTGACTCACTGGGTTCTTTCTTACAAGAATACAAAAGATTAATTGTTTTGTAATAAGACAGCAGGTTGTTAGCCTGGCTCTCGCCAGACCCTTGTAGTTCTGCCATGCTCCACCAGAGGCGTCTGGCTGAACCACAGTGCCGCGAACTACATGGGTCTGGCGAGAGTCAGGCTAGCAGGTTGTGGAAGATAAAAGTTAGCTATCCCAGCTTAAATGTGTTACAACCATATCATATATTTCCCCCCATTGCTTATAACAAAACATTGCCAACATATGTGGCCTTTGTAGAATGGTTTGTTAATCTGCGTGCATTGCAACAAAAAAGTGACCAACTAGCCGTGTTGTTTAAGTTAAATAATTTGATATTACACAATTTTCCGTCTGGATACGTTCGATAACTGTGAACATCTCCAGACCTTTATTCGCGTGTACATTGTGCTCCGTGTTGAAATGACTTAGTGATTTTGTTGCTGTGGCTGTGGAGGCGGAGGCGGGTCATTGGGTTCAGCTCACAATCTGGGCTCGGGAAAACTCTTAACGATGACTGATCTATACAGTGCTTTTCTGCCTATACAGTATGCTGGTGCTGGTGTATGCAGTGTATGCAGTGGCCTGTACATTACACATCTCACATTCTTCTGTTTGTTTTGTTACAGGGCTGCAGCAAATTAGTGGGATTAAGATCTACACCTCTGGAGACATGGAGGCGGTGAACGGAACAGATACAAAACTGAAATGCAGTTTTCAAACGTCAGCGACGATCAACCCCCAAACTCTGACAGTGTCTTGGAGCTTCAGGCCTCTGAACAAGGGCCGCGAGGAGTCGGTGAGTGCACTGAGGGTGATAGATAGATGGATAGATACTGTATTAATCCCCTATATGAGAAATTCAGGAAACATTCAGAAAAAGTCATGGAAAAAATCAAGGAACTTAAAGTGGTTCTCACCCCCGCTCCTCGGAGCTTACGTTACTCACATTTCCTGTTCAAATCTTCCTCTAAATGGGCGTAGCCTGGAGGACTAAAGGGGGCGTGAACGAGACTGGGCCGTTTACATTGCTCTGGGCGGGGGGCTGCTGACGTCAGGTCCAACTTGCAGACGTCAGGTCCAACTTCTGTGCCAGTGTTGGCGCCAGATTCAAAATTCAAATGTAGTAATACAGGTCGCCAGCAGATGGCGCCTCACAGACGGTTTTAGGCAGAAAGTCTAACTTTCAACTAATTTGCACCAAAGTGACAAGATTATGACCAGGATATGTAGACAACACTATTGGACACTCATTTGTACCGTTTATCAGCAAAAAAAAGTGGATTTGAGGGTGAGTTGTCCTTTAAGAAAGAATTAGAGGAAAATTCAACAAATCAGGTTGATTCAATTGATTCTTTCTGGAATCAAGAAAGACAAAGAATGTGATTTGAATTTTGTGTATTGAATTACGTTTGCATGAAATAAATTGGTTGCTGTTGCATGAGGATGATGGTGAAGAATAATTTTTATTGATCTGGTTTATTGCTTAGACCCTGGCAGATATTTCCTTATATTTGAAGAAGGGATTTTAAATTGAGAAGATGAAAGTGGAATTCTCCTGAGGTCTAGACCGTGGTGGTGGTGGAAGGTGGAAGCTGAGTGATGTGCCGATGACATGAAGGAGGATAGGAAGGAGGAGGGTTGTGGCACGAACTGCAGCTGTAATCTTACAAGAAGAACGGGTGAAGTTGATTGGTGATTAGCAGAGGCACAGTGTGCGATATAGAGGGCGAGGACTGGAGTGAAGGTGGCAGGTGGCATGTATTTATATGTTATGATGCTAAATTTGATAACTATACTCTATCCATATCAATGTTGTATGTATTCCATATGTACAGAGCAAAATACATATACTAGATTTACATCAAATTATATTCTCAAATTTTACTTTACCTCTATCAATATTGCGGCAATCCTGGCGTCAGTAAAGTCCAACGCTTTCATCTGTGGTTTGTAAAACTATTGTGAGTTGCCAAAGGGACCACCCACGCAGTGTTCCACTAGGCTTTGGTCTGTTTGTTAAGTGCTCCCTATAGAAGTGGTGAGTTTTATATTCAATCAAACTGGTTTGTATAACAGTACTGCAAAAAGTACTTGGTATGAATCTTTTGATAAATTGCAGATAAATAAAAGTTACAGATTACATATACGCATAGAAAAAAAGAGAAGAGTGACATTTGACAGGAAGATAGATTAAAGTAATTATATATGAAGGCTGGTGACCATCGAGTTTCTTTATTATAATACATAGTTCCCACATGACGTCACTACATACGGGGATTTGCCGACCCGGCGCCATTTGAGTTGGCATGCTGTGGGCAAAACAATAGAAAAAGAAGCTGAAACGTGTTAATGTCGTGATAAAGTTGAAAATGGTCATCTCCTGCTGGGTCAATGGATGTTCAAATCGTGCCGGAGGTTCCGTTAAACTTGGATTTTACAGTATACCCATCATTAGACTTCATGAATGTGAGAAGACTAAGCTTTTGTCAGAACAACCACGGAGGTTATGGCTTGCGAAGATAAACAGGCAAGAAACTCCCTCAAAACACGCAAGAATATGCTCGGAGCACTTTGTGTCAGGTGCGTATCGTATCTTATAATGTGTTGACAGACGTAATTTACTCAGTACTAACTTGTGTATGCTGATAGCTGGTAACTTGAGAGTTTCATTATTTAGCGTTAGATTACTTTATTATGAGGAGGATCGGTGTCGCGTCCGAGGCTCTCGAGGGCAACGTAAATGTATTAAATAGATAATAATAGTTCTATGGTGGGCTAAAACAATGTTCACAAACAGCATTGCTTCTGTGAAAAGATCTGTGTCATAAAATAAACTGCTCTTTACGCCTGGAAAAATCAGTTGCCCACCATTCACCAAAACATACGGTCAAAAACGCGGAAATAAACAATAACAGCAATCCAGAGTGTCCGTGTGGCATTAGCATTAATTAAATTAATTGTTAATATAATTAAAATAATTAAATGGAGCTCCAACTGGTATTAAATCTAAAGTTTTTGAGAAATGTTTGCATTGCTTGTTAATTTTTGCTGCATAATTTGATCAAATATGTAAAACATGTCCGTAGCACGTTAAACTGTGGTGCCATTGTATTAATATACAATTATTTGCTCAAAAGTTGCCCTTTTTTTCCAATTTGCGTTTGAATATCTACATTTATTCTCATTCTTCTGTTTAATGGAATGCACAAACACAGCAGCGTGCCATCAAAGATGGCGTCTCCGAGGAGGTTATGTGACATTCATTGGTCTGTGGGAGCTATGTATATTTATTTTTTCCATTTCTAAATCTGCTTACAAATAAAGACAAGACCAGTCTAAAAAAGTGCATCTATGTTTAGGACAATACTATACGTGCGTGTTGTAAATGTTAAATCAAACCTTAAACCAGCTCGCGGTGTCAGGCAGCGTCCGCCTCTGCAGGTTTGGTCCAAGAGAAGGTGTGAGTCACGGCGCTCCCCACAGAGCAGCCCAGACATCACTGTGTGCTCAGACATAATGAACAGAAGAAGACAGAAGCAGAAGGCCTGGACTCGTGTCTGCGCTCTGTGTGGGAGGAGAGCGTTCTGTCCTAGTCTTACTCTGGCACAACTCCCTGGCAATTAGCAGATTAGAATAGCTAACATTTGTACTCAATTAATATGACCTGATATAGGAAAACTGCTTTTTTGTGAAGGAATCCAACTAAATCCTACTAATTTTACTGAAATGTATGAACTTCATATAGATTGAGATGCAATAGATACATCTGAATTCACTTAACATCAGATTTTGCAGGTGCCAGTATTAAGGCTGGGCTACCTAACCTTTTTTCTTCATAAATATTCAATTTAGTTTGTCCCAATAGAAAGAGTATTGTAAAATGTAAAACTAGCCATGTCTTTATCTTATTAGAAAACCATCTGTATTTTGCATACCTAAGAAATAGCCCTCAGAGTCACTTTTTGATGCTTTTTTGCTTCTCTTTTTCACTTTTCTGACCAAAACCTGCTATAATGATGTGTCAGAGGCCAAAAAAACATACATGTAGAAACTTGTGATGGAACCAAACTTGTTAGGAACTAGTTGATGAATTATATAGCTACAACCATTTTTAGTGGGTTGAAAGTTAGGTACCTGGGTTTGCCCGGATTCAATGAAATGCAACTATGGATGTCGCCATCTCGGGCCGTTCTAACACAAAATGTTCCTCGCTCTTGTAGATTTTCCACTACCAGCAGAAGCCCTACCCGCCCATAGAAGGCATGTTCCGGAAGCGCGTGGCGTGGGCCGGGGACATCATGGGCCGGGACGCCTCCATCATCATCCGAGAGGTGAAGTTCACGTACAACGGGACCTACACCTGCCAAGTGAAGAACCCTCCTGACGTGCATGGGACGGTGGGAGAGATCCGGCTACGCGTGGTCACTACGGGTCAGTGCCTTGTGATGTCACCGAGCAATTTGATCTGTGACGACCTGGCTCGGCTTGAGTGTAAAGGAAGTAACAATAAAACCAAGATGCTAACATGCTAACTAATCATAATTTATTTCAATGACCCAATAGCTAAAGGGGCATCAAAAATAGGATTACATATTTACAGAAACATGAGGTAAATAATTCACAGATTAAAACCAAGTAAGCAATTAACAAAAGAAAAGAAAATATAGCTTAAAACAAATTCAAGTTTACAAAATTAATCATTGCTAGCAGCTTTGTTAAGTGGCACATGCTATTGCTGTTCGTGAAGGCTGCAGAAATTAAGCCAAAGAATGAAAAGCGTGACTTCTGGAGATTCAGGAGCGAAAAGTGCGATATTCAGAATGAACCCTCGGTGAAGTGCGGTTGTGATCAAGTGGACAGCCAACAAGTGAAGTCAGTAACATCAAATGTATTTCATATTATACCTGGATTGTACTAGAATATAAAATGTGTTCTTAATTCAGATATTGTGTATATAAAATGTATGTTCCAGATACAAAGAAAGTCTTTGCTAGCTCAATGGGGCCATTGGATCAGTGAGGGGTTGGTGCTATGTGTACTAGGTGCAGCTCTGACTGCCACCACCCCGACCCAGATTAAGGGGAAGAAAGTTGATGGATGGATGTTGTGTATATAATATTTTTTCCAATAATATAATCCTTTCACTTGTTAGAAGCACCTAGTGAGAGAAGTATGATCACATTTATTCAGCATTCCATATTTATTGTTTATTATTATAACACATTGTCATTTTCCACTACTACTGTTAGATGGTGGTGTTTTCCTTACCACAAAATATTTTTCATAAATCACCAAAAAAAGAAATACCAAAAAAGAAACAGAAACCAGTCTGTTTTCTAAGAAGACTGAGCAAAAGGTCGGCGCAAGTGACAAAACACAAAACAAGACACAAAGTAATTGTTCACTTGCTTTGTTTAGTTTTGTTATTGTTTACGTGCCTAACCCAGTCTCTATGGATCTAACGCATTATGCGCGTAGACTGTATATATTAACGGACGTAGTCACGCCTATCTCCGCCGTTCAAACTAATGGGCCAAAAATGGGCCAAAAATGTATCCAAAATGGCTGCTTGTGGTCCCGCCCACAAGAAAATTGTTAAAAAAAGCATCTGCGCTGGCGAGAGCTCCATTCATTTCAATGAGTGCCTTCAAAAATTCACAACGACAAAATTAGAGTGGTCCAAAAAAATTCACCCCCTCAGCATTGACACACATGTGGAACAGAGCTTTGGGCCAAGAGCCAACTTTTGGTCCATCCTGTAAAGACGTTTTCGAGAGGTCTGCCAATGCTATATGTTAGCATTGGCTAATTCTTATTCCAGGTCCACCCCCATCGGCCCGGGGTGGTATTGCAAACATGTCAGCACACGTCATTTTGGCCACTTTTGAGCCGAGACCCGCCCCCACTGATTATGAGGCTTAACTCTTCTCCAACTGTATTAGATGACCAATGATAATCAAATATCCAATAGCGTACAGTACCACCAGCTCTATAGTTTATAACGATCTATTCTTGGTCTTATAGAGGGAATAAGTTCCCAGTACACAGAGTTTATGACCAGGAGTGTGGATGATATATTTCCACATCCTTCAAATAATGGACAAGGCCAATCAAACAAATTGAATACCCCCCTATTCCCCCCCCCCCCCCCCCCCCCACCTCTCTTCGCTGTGTTGGAATGAGAGTAACTTCCAATGCAATCAACATTAATATTAATAACCAAAACCAAATACATTTTGGATGCGTGACTGAGATTGTTGTTTGGGGGTTAGTCTTCTGGGCATGTGGGATTGTTTTTAATTATCTGAATATAATGAAAATCTGAGGAGCTTTGTGTTACGTTGTTACTATGAAATGATGTTTAGAAATGAAGTTGGATTTATGGATGCTGGGAGAATATTTTATGTATTGCCTTGAAGTCTGGGGTAACTCCTACAATACTAATTTAATAAATGTAGTCATTCTGCAAAAAAGATCTTTACAAATAATACATACAACTCCAAGAGAAGACAAAATTGAACTATTATTGATGTCCGGACTGTTAAAACTGAAGGAATTAATTGTATTACATTACTAATTAATTGTATTACATTATTAATTATGTCCAGGGCACGACATTATCTATTTGCCCTGTTGCCTGCAAACGTTCTTTTCAGTTAACAATGAAATCAGCAAAAGGAATCTGGATGATTTTAAAATGCCTTCAGCCAGAACTACACTCAAAAAAAATTAAATCTTTTATGCCGGTGTCAAAGTCTGGAACTCTGCAAACAATGAATTGAAAACATATCAACAATATCACAAGTTTAAATAGTATTGCAATTGTATTTGTTAATGACATGAAGCCATCTGTGTTTGTTGTATAACTGTAGATTGGGGTCTTCCTCCTCCTCCTGTTCTTTATGTGACTCTAATGTTATATAAGAATATATACATATACTGTATACAGTGCCTTGCGAAAGTATTCGGCTCCCTTGAACCTTTCAACATTTTGCCACATTTCAGGCTTCAAACATAAAGATATAAAATTTTAATTTTTTGTCATGAATCAACAACAAGTGGGACACAATCGTGAAGTGGAACGAAATTTATTGGATAATTTAAACTTTTTTAACAAATAAAAAACTGAAAAGTGGGGCGTGCAATATTATTCGGCCCCTTTACTTTCAGTGCAGAAAACTCAGTCCAGAAGTTCAGTGAGGATCTTTGAATGATCCAATGTTGTCCTAAATGACTGATGATGATAAATAGAATGCACCTGTGTGTAATCAAGTCTCCGTAGACTATCTGCAGTTCATCCAGAGCGATCATGGGCCTCTTGTCTGCATCTCTGATCAGTCTTCTCCTTGTTTGAGATGAAAGTTTAGAGGGACGGCCGGGTCTTGGTAGATTTGCAGTGGTCTGATACTCCTTCCATTTCAATATAATTGCTTGCACAGTGCTCCTTGAGATGTTTAAAGCTTGGGAAATCTTTTTGTATCCAAATCCGGCTTTAAACTTCTCCACAACAGTATCTCGGACCTGCCTGGTGTGTTTCTTTGTCTTCATGGTTCTCTCTGCGCTTTAAACAGAACCCTGAGACTATCAAAGAGCAGGTGCATTTATACGGAGACTTGATTACACACAGGTGCATTCTATTTATCATCATCAGTCATTTAGGACAACATTGGATCATTCAAAGATCCTCACAGAACTTCTGGAGTGAGTTTGCTGCACTGAAAGTAAAGGGGCCGAATAATATTGCACGCCCCACTTTTCAGTTTTTTATTTGTTAAAAAAGTTTAAATTATCCAATACATTTCGTTCCACTTCACGATTGTGTCCCACTTGTTGTTGATTCATGACAAAAATTACATTTTTATATCTTTATGTTTGAAGCCTGAAATGTGGCGAAATGTTGAAAGGTTCAAGGGGACCGAATACTTTCACTGTATATATAATATATATATATATATATATATATATATATATATATATATATATATATATATATATATATATGAAGAGTTATCCTCCTGTGGACTCACCACCCTGCAGAGGGTCAGTGAGGGGCTGGTGCTATGAGACTTGGGTGGCATCTCTGACTGCCACCCCCCTGACCCAGAAATGGATTAAAGGGTAGAAAATGGATGGATGGATGGATGAAGAGTTATATAAAATAAATGAAATGAAAGGAATGCCGCAGCAAAGTGTATACCGTTTGGAATGAGTTTTGTGTGTTCTTTACCACAGCCTCGTTCTCTGAGCTGCTGTACTTGGCCATGGCCATCGGAGGCGGTATCGCAGCTGTCGTGGTCTTGTTGGTCATCATTGTGTCGTGCAGAAGATGCAAGAAGAAGCAGCGTCAGAGGATGGAGAGGGATGTGGAGGTGCCTTGTAAAGAGCGCAAAGAACTCAAAGAACGCAAAGATCCCACAGTGTGGTAAGACCTCATGGACCAGGGGGCGCAGACTCTGGGCTGTGGGGGCTTTTGGTGCTCTTTTTGGGATTGGAAGTTTTTCACTCTCTGCTTCCTCTCTGAGCTATGGACCCCAGTGATGAGTCAAGAAGCAGACCTAAGCAGTTTTTTTTAATTGTACAAAGCACAGATTATAGCTTTTGTATTATCAACGTGCCTTTTATTTGTGAGAGAAGTGGTTTATCATCTCGCTTTTCCCGCTCGCCTAAACGGGTCGACATCACATTTCCTGTTTAGAGTTATTGGGTGATGAGAGCAACAGAACAATGGTGTAGCTCCCCTGTTTACTTCCTCACTCATATAAATCACCCTCAGCAATAAGCTTCATGTTTGAAGTATCTTAGACAAACTATGAGAGGACAATGGGCAGTTTCTATTAAAATCATATCAACACAAAATAGTTTAAACAAAGATCACAATGTTTTTGCATCTGCCTTTGACCCAGCCGTATTACAGCTTCCTTTTCAACACAAGCTGCATAGTTTCATTGTTCGCATCTCTGAATTGAAATCTCTCCAAAGGCAAATATTTGATCAACTTTGATAAAACAAAAAGAATACAATTAATTGTATCTTTAGTGGTCAGTTTTTTAATGTCATAAAACGCACTACTGCCAATGTCTGTGCTGTCTCTGTGTGTATACATAGAAGAGATTAGGCCCATTGTTACAGTATCAGTGACCAATCATTTCTGTCACTAAATAGAATTGCACCATTGTACATATTTGTTTTGATTCACTACTGAAGTACTAGCACTGTATTTTGGTTTTAATTGCCAGTTTTTATATTTTAAATTTTAAGACTGAATTTTTTGAGGTGTCATTGATCAAATCTACTGGTGAGCATTGTTGGAAAGAGACACCAGCACATTTGATGTCATGTAATCTTCCTAATCAATGGTCCAATGCTCTGTTTTTAACTGCTATATTTTTGAGCATCTTTCGCTGGATGTTTGGCTCCTATCTTGGGTTTTCAGATTTGTCCACCACCACTATGTTTTTGAATGGTGCTGTATGTTGACTTAGACTCCATTCTTCTCCCAAAAATGGCAGCAGACAATCTGATCTTACATAGAAGATGGAGACTAAAACACCTTTTTTTAAACTTGTCATGCCCTTCCCATTAGATGTATGTGTAATGTATGCACATCCATGAGTCAATAATTCATGAATGTGACATGCATGACTGTCCATGTTTGTTAATGCCAACCCACGCTCTTTAGTGAGTGCCCTGTTTCCATGAGTTAAAGGTATACATGGAGTTCCAATGTGGACCAAAACTGTCCACACAAAATGCACAAGACTTACATTACAAATGTTGTTTTAGATCAACATTGAGAACCATAACATACAAAATATGGCCATCATCTTTATAGCAGATCAAATTATCAAGTTACTTTTTTATAGCTGTGGTACCTTACTTTTATAAGTAATTCATAATTTTCCCAACAGAAAGAGTCTTGTCAAAGAAATTGTGAACAAATCAGACCACAATATTCTCTCTTCATCTATGGCCCAAATCTGTAGGAAATGAATCACACAATATGTTTAAGTGAGTCACCATTTGACGCTTTGGGCTTAGAGCTGAGTGAGAGCGTTCTTCTCTTTTTCACTTCTCTGTCTGAAATATCTGAGAAGGAGAAAAAGGCCAAAAATAGATGCATGTGAAAGCACAGTGTTAAACCAAACTGCTGAAAGTGAGGAACTAGTTTGATTCATTTTGATACTAGTTCAATTGTTGTGGTTTGAAAGTTAGGTACCCCAGCTTTAAGCAATGATCATGACATTGTAAACATGCATTAGGTCTAATCTACAATCTATTGTATTTCTAGAACAAACCAGTTCAATCATAAATCATTGATGTATTCACAAAATCTCTGGAAACAAGTCACACATTCCACTGGAGCTGGTGTCGGCCCGTGTCCCGTTCCTCCCTCAGTCCCCTCGCTGTGTCCTTATCCCACGCAGCCATCCCGCTCGCGCCGTACACCTTTACATGTCCCAGACCTCCATAGAGATCGACAGCTCCGACGGCATGATCTCAGACCCCAGCACGGGCGACCCCAGCTCATCCGAGGAGGACGAGAGGAGCACTGACGAAGACGACGGGGATGACTCAGACTGATGAAGGGTGCAAACGAACAGAGGTGTGAAATATTCTGCTGCAGCTTCACCGCGGGTGTCTGCTGGAGGGACCCAATGATGACGCCCGCCAAGAAGGAGCTGTCACTGAGGCTAAACTAATAAGGCAGGAGGGCAAACATATCAAGGAGAAGGTTGTTATGTTTTGGACCATGCAATGTTAGCTGATCTGACATCGACACGGCCTCGAGAATGGCCACCAGACCATCAATAATTGTTTGAAAGACATTGTGATCGATGAGAGGCATACTGGGTAATGTAACCATGCTCTTAATGACTTTTCTGAGAAGCTTTATGCATGTTAACATTGCAGACTGCATTATTGTTTCAAGAGGTGGAAGGGTTGTCTGTGAAACTAAAGATAAAAGTCATAATGGTGAACACTATGCTTATTGTCTTAGACTGTATACTGACTGGAAACCTGAGAGACAGTAGTCCATTAGCAACTGAGCTTGGACTGAGTATATATTTAGCTTTTACACATTTTTACACTTCAAATGTGTACAGACATTTGTTTTTCATTTGATATCGATACACTGTCCCACAGAAGAAATTCACTCCATATACATACAGTAGGTAGGTTCAAACTCACATACAGGTCATACAGGACAATCTAATGAAAACAACACAGTTCAAACAAACAAGAAAAGCACTTAAATATCAAGATAAGATAAGATGTACTTTATTAATCTCACACAGGAGAAATTTACACAAACTTATTATTATATAGTGAATGAATATGGGTGCATTAGATTGGTGCCTCCTCATTAGATTCAAAGATCTTATGGATCCTTTTAAATCAACCGCTGAAGTGACCAGTGATAATCCTATGTTCTTTGGGTTGTTTTCTAGAATGTGAATATTGGCTTTTATGTGAATCACTGCGTTCATAACAGATCTGAAAACCCACGATGGCCAAACGTCCTTGTGTCTATGTCTTGAATGCATCGTTTGGTAACTGTATTGACACATTGTGCTGTTACAAATGTTTCTTCTTAGTCAATGCCAGAAGTATTTTACTGTAAGTCACTTTTATAGATCTTTTGTAAAGTATTTTTAATAAAACATCTGTACATTTGTATCCGGGTGTAATGATTTAATAAATGATAGGGACACTATTCACTCAACTCCCCAACTTATTCATAATGCAAGAGAGCAGCCTCATTATCCAGTATTTATTAGATGAATCATAATCTCTGAGAGGATGTGTTGTTTTTTCGGGGAAATGCTCAATATGCATGAAATCCAATCCACTTTATTTATGTAGTACATTTTATAAAACACGTTTGCAAAGTGCTGCACAGATAAAAATAACAAATTAAAAAATACAAGTCTGCTTTAAATAAAAAAAAAAAAAAAAAAAAAAAAAAACAAATAAAAACATTTGTCTATACACATAAAAAATAAAAAAAAAGACAAAATAGAGGATCACACAACTCACGGGGCATTAAAAGTCAGAGAGTAAAAGTGGGTCCAAAGGACGAGACTTAAAAAATTCCAAGGAAAGAGTATGTGGCCAAATATGGACTAGTGCCTTGTATTTTCAGATAATTGAATTAATTCTTTAGAAAATGTGAATGAAATCAACAGTACTGGCTGCTTGACTTTTTGGATTGGTGAAGGCCTTAACAGTAGTAGCAAGTAAAACTGTTTGGAGAGTAAAACACTTATTTTTTACCGGTTAGTAAGTACGTTATCTTTATTCGCATTGCGCAACATAGAGGACCACACAACTCACGAGGCGTTAAAAGTCACAGAGTAAAAGTGGGTCTAAGAACGAGACTTGAACAATTCCAGCGAGGCTGTTTTGACAATGTTTTGTTTTGATGAAATGAAAGATGATAAAAGACAAAGAACAGCAGATGTTGTAAATAATGTAAATCTATAGTAATTGTTACATCATGTTGAGCTTCTTCAAATACCAGATGGACATGTAACCCTCTATATAAATATATATGTGTCCGTTTCTTGTATTTTTAACTAAAAGATTAAAAAACTCAGTTTCCCATGAGCCTTTGCGGTCGGCAACCCAGGAAGTGCTAGCGCACCATACTGCTTATACACAGTAGCCGCTGGCTGCCAGCTAGGTGCGTGGGACAAGCGGGACTTGGGTGCGGCAGTAGGTAAGATTTGCCTGAATATGACTAAATCCACCGTCTAGAATAGATCGGGTTTTAATAAATGGTGCGTTGTGTCCCTCAACCCGTAGGTCGGTCTACCGCGACACATATCGTGACCATATTTCTGAGAGACTTAGTGGGATCGGTAAGTGTCGCCATGATTCTCATGTTAACTGATACCTGTTGTTGTGATTGTACTCACTGCACAAATGAATTTCAATGCATTGTATTGCATATTTGCACATTTTGGCATCGCGCCTATTTGTATATAACACACAACGCACCATTTATTAAAACCCGATCTATTCTAGACGGTGGATTTAGTCATATTCAGGCAAATCTTACCTACTGCCGCACCCAAGTCCCGCTTGTCCCACGCACCTAGCTTCAGGGAAACTGAGTTTTTTAATCTTTTAGTTAAAAATACAAGAAACGGACACATATATATTTATATAGAGGGTTACAGACAGCTGCTGCTATAGTGTGTAACCATCAACATAGATATAAAAGATCTAACATTATAGAATATGATAACAGTAGGACATGGCCGCTGAAGTGACCAGTCAAGCAGGATTTCAAGAATTCAACCTCCTGTATTAATTTCAATGACATTTCAGACATTTTGGGCCTTGTCATTGTAGACTTTTGACTGACAGTAAACAAACACAAGGTAATGGCGCCTTGTTTGTGACTGTTCTGAGGAGCTGCCATAAACAGTTCAGACGTTTTAGATGATTGAAATGGGGTGAATCAACAGCTGTCACTCAATCAGAGAATATGTCTATGTTTCTCTTGTCGTTTTGCCATGGAGCGCTTCATTTGCTCTCTGAATACTTCAATAGGACAGCATTTATGAATTTAGACTTTACATCAAGCTGTAGTATAGGTTAGATTTTCATTCTAGAGGTTGTTCCTAAAGTCTGAATGTCTCCCCCTATAGATGATAAAGAGAACTGGCCATACATTTGCACAAAGCAAGGCATGTTTTTACTTTTACTTTACTTGTCTTTACTTTTGATGGATCCACATTTAAGACCTCATTTTCTTTTTAAATGTTTATAAAAAAATACAAAAGGGCCATTCCATTTGAGAGATTTTTGTAATAAATAGTGGACCATACTACTGTGTTCTCTGATCCTCAATCTGACAAACTTATGTTGGAACAATATTTTGATACGTGTCTCCAGATTCATTCTTATGTGGTAAATGTAAAACCAACATTGTGGCCAAATTTGGACAAGTGTATTTTGAGACAATCAAATTCATGTGAACGAAATAAACAGTGCTGGCTGCTTGTCTTTTTGGATTGGTGAAGGCCTTAACCGTTGAAGCAAGTAAAGCTGTTAGTGAGTATGTCATCTTCATTTCTGATGCGCATTTCGCAGGTCACACAAAGAGCCTTATCTTTTTTGTTGTACCAGTATTTTCCATTTACAGCAACGACCAAAACGAGACATGGAAAAACCTGCCACATCGAAGCCCCTGATCGTCACAATCCATTCACTCACTCATTACATTCATATCTTTTGTACATGTTTTTAGTGGTAGGGGAAAGTGAAGCACCCGGAGACACAGGAAGAACATGCAAACTCTACACAGAAAGTCCTGGAGGTCAAACCCGCAGGATCCTCTTGCTGTGATGGACAAAAACAAACCACTGCGCCCATTGATGACTATTCAATTCAATGTATTCTTGTATAGCCCTAAATCAATACAGTAGCCAACTCGGAGGAATGAACAAAACCATAGAATTTGCCATCACAGATAAAAGAATCAAACACAATAATTGCAATGATAGAAAAACACATAGAGCCATCATCCACGACCGATGTCCATAAACGTCCATATACAGTATGTTGTTGAATGTCGAGTGTCCTGGATCACCAACACTGTCCTTTGACCCTCCTACATCTGCAAGATAAGGAATTGCATTTTTGTATTTGCAATAGTGGCATTACAATTCCTCAAACAGAATCAAAAAGGTTTTAAATTTGTCTTGACCAAACCTGGGGCTGTATAAATAAGCCATGACAACAAGCCTCCTCTCTCCTATCATCCTGTTCTATGCATTCAATCACACATTGATACCTCAGTTGTGCCTTTGTATAGACAAGGCTTGTTTGTAAAGTGACACGCTTCATGACTGCGAATACATTAGCACTAAGTGTGTGTGTCCGCGTGTGAGTGTGTGTGTGTGCGCGTGTGAGTGTGTGTGTGTGTCCAGGAACCTAATTATGCTCATTGATCAAAGTCTATCCGTCTAACCAGAGCCCAATGTGCCGGACAAGCCAGAATAGCTGCTTGTTGAAAAAGAGAGTGACAGTCGGATGCATTTCCGAAACTATTCTTGCTTGACGTTATTATTTATGAGATTTTGGAAAATGGGGACACTCAATAGTATTTCAGACAATCGAATGGTTTGTGCAGTTGTTATTATTTCTTCTCAGTTGTCAACCATCGATATCTGAGCTCCACTGGCTGCAAACAGAATTTACAAGAGAAAAGAGCAGTTTACTGGAGAGGGATATGTTTCTGTGTGCCTGGAGGAAGTACATTACGCTGTTCAGTAACAACATTTGAATTGGTAAATTGGTAAGTCAATGTAACCTGCTAATGTTCAGGAGTTTAGTTCAACTGACTTAACCAGGGGTCAAAAACATGGATTCTAAAATGGCTTTTTAAAATGTGGGCTGTTTTGTCCATATTGATTTACTTAGTTTCACTGGTGTCATTTTGTGACACAATCAAAGCATAAGTCAGAATTAACAAATAAAGTTAATGGCTTTATTTCAAAGGTTACAGAACTAGTACAACATGACTATAATGTGGAGCTGAAGTTGCATGAATGAAACTATGAAAAGGCCTCAATGGCTACTTTGTGCTAGCAGCAGAGGGCCACAGAAAATGATCCTGTGGGCCACATTTTTCCTGCCGACATTAGTTTGGACATGTTTGTACCACAGCAGGTGAATCTACATATTATGGGACAAAGTGACTCGAACAAACTTCACTGGAACATCCAAGTTTCATTATGATAGTTTTCAGAAGAATGTGTTCATATTTTTGTATTGTATGTTTAAAAAATGTTGCAAAACCAGAATCATGTTCCATACAAAACTAGAATTATGAACACATAGATGGGGAACAAAATGTCTTATGAAGATTACAAACACATTCTTCTTCTTTCACACACAAGTGTTGCCCAACATTGGCCTCAGTCTGCATTCCTCACTGTTTGTGGTTTGTGGCACAGCGTCAGATCAGTTATTATTTAGAAATGTTTGCCGTTAATTGAAGACTAACACACTTTATATACAGATTTGGATTTGGAATTTGATTTTAATACCAGAAGAATGTGCATCTGTGCTAGTTCAGACCAAAGCTGACTAAAAGAATCATGTCTTATCAATATCTTGTTCATAATGACAAAACTTTATTTATCGCTGGAATTTAACTATAGTGGGATTTGTACTAAATCTATGATAACAATAATTTACTATACTATACGAATACTATACATACTTACTATAAAAGGCTATTTACTGTACCCTGATTTTTCTGTATTTGATGTATTATACTGTGCAGCGCTTTGGGCAGCAATTGTTGTTGTAAATGCGCTATAGAAATAAACTTGACATTGACACAATGATAATGCATTTTATTCAAAGGTCACTGTACTAAAAAAAAAGAAAAAAAGAACATCACTGCACTCAGACCAGAACCAAAATTGCCTCTGGAAATGTTAAATGTTATTAACTTTTTATTAAAATCTTGTTCTGGACAACAGACCTTGCTGTCAAATGGGTTTGATTCCTGCGCTGACCTGGACCTTTCCGTGTTTCTCCTCTCTGTGTGGGTTTCCTCTGGACGCTCCGGTTTCCACCATCATCCACAGCACGCACTATAAAGTAAAGGATGCCACTATTTTGCAAGGGAATAAACTAAACCTTCCACTACCTATAATATCCACATTTCATCTCTTTTTCAGCTTTTTCTAGATTTTTGTATATTCCAATGAGACAATACAATGAAAAACAAAACAGTGATTATTATTGTTGTTAAAGCGAGTTTTCTTTCATGCTCTTATCACATCTCATCATTTCTCTTTTACTGGCCATTCCCAGGCTCCCAGTTCCAGACTATAATGGTTTCCCCTGTTCCTAGATGTACAAAGTCTCTGTATCAGCGCTCTCTGGTGCTGACAGTGAAACAACAGCTCTTTTGGACCTGGAGACTTCGCTGTGATTCAGACTGAACCTGAGCCACGGTGACCAAAGAGAGAGCTTTATATCCACGGATAATACACCACAATGGGATCTGTGTGCGAACAAATTCAGGAAAGAAGCAGTTATTTTAGTTTGCTGTGAACAAGGACAATCTGCCAGCGACATATGTTACATAATATATTCATAAGTAGGAGTACAAGGTTAAAGCTAGGTCTGACAGAAATATTTTCATTCAGCTGCAGACATTTTATTCACCATCTTAGGATTGCTTGGAAAGTATTGTCAAGTAAAGTTTATATCTGCTGCTTAACATTACATGTATTAGTTCAATGAGGTCATTTAAGTCGAGTAAATATTGATACAAATATATTTTTCTCAGACCAGATTGTAGTCCCTGAGGAGGCTGGTCTGAGAGAAGGAATCTTTATAGCAATAACGTGTATTATTAATATTATAAGTAAATACCACATGAAAGCAACATTAAAGGAATTCATTGAGCTTTAACCTACAAACTTGTGAGAATATTTACAGGTATTGAAAATTATTGTGACCATAGGCTGTGAAATCCATAGTGTTTACTAAATGAAATTTATAGCATGTTTTTTTAAGGTTATGGTTTGTTTTGTAATTGCAAATTGATACACATAGTATTCAAATAATAGTATAGATAGATAGATAGATAGTTACTTTATTGATCCCAGTCAGAGAAATTCAGTTGTCTGGTAGCAGCAAAAAATAGAATAAAAAAAGACGAGAAAAAAGTTTGGCATAACAACTTTTGAATACATGTTTTAATGCATATACAACAGAAACTCAGAGAGAGAGAGTCGTAGAAAGACGCATCGATCACTTTAAAGAGAGCCTTGAGCAAATGGGGCAGAAATGTGCCAACAAACAACTTGCACTTGTTTGCTCTGTGCATTGACTTTGGTCTCATAAAGGGCTAAGGGTCTGTTTACATTATGACTATAAAACGTCCAGGTAAGATATGTAAATGACCTCTGCAGCTTCAGATTTATGGATGTGACAGGACAACGGACCCTCCATCCCGATTGAAGTCTTGAAGAAATCTTCAAAGGACAAAAATGAAGTGGAGATAAAGATTACAGCAAAGAAAGAGTCGAGGCTGGAATAACAAATAGTGCTTCCCATTAGAGGTAATTACATCAGAGAAGACACAAAGCAGATTCTGGACAGGGATAGCAGTAATGGCACCAGGAAAAGACTATAGCAGCACGGTCCCAAAAGAGAATACAGGTTTACACAGCAGGAGAGATAAGACGAAAGAAAGCACCAAGGGCTAAACATTAATAAACAAGGATCAGGCTTGATCATTTTATAAATTGGTTGTTTTAATACATGCTCTATGGACAATACTGATTTTAACAGCTGTAAAATGCCTTCTCAGTGATTGATGAATAACCCATTAGGTCTTTTCAAAAAGCAATTCATTTTCTTGACAATGAAGCTCTGTAGCAAGTTAAAGCAATGCTACTAAAATGTAATTCCTCTTCTGTGTCAAAATATAAAGCTGGATTCAAAGTTGGCCATTGAAATACTTCTCTATGTGGTTAAATGCTGCTTTATAAAAATATATTGTTGAGTAAATGATGAAGGTAATAGGTACAATTTTTGTAAATGCCATATCAGCACAATCCCTTATGGCGTGATATATGAGAGTTTCATAATCAAATAATGGACGTCAAAATGCCCAGATGACTTTTTGCTGATTGCGGCAGATATTGTTGATTAAAATGAGAAAAAACACATTAAGGGTTTTGAATTTGTGTATTATTATTGCTGTAGTTTTTTTTTTAGTATTATAGACTGTAGTATTCTATAAGCTAAAGGTGCATTTAGTTTAGGGCTATCTTGTAATGAGTAACCTATTTTCGTCGCAGTGATCATGGCATGCTGAAAGATATTGGACAGTAAATCCATATCCATATACACCAAGACTGTACTAGTTCAGTTTTGTTACAGTACTAAAGAGCTGAAAGATTACAGAGGAACACCAGCTGGATCCATATTTGTGGATAAATTATGATAAACTTATATGTGATGCTGGTAAAAAAGAACTTGACCAAACTCGTGTTCGTATTCAGACATATCCAGTGAATTTTTGAATAAATTTTAACACAATTACTCATCCATATTTGTTCAACTTTAAGTTTTAAAGTCCCATCTGGGCTCACTTCCTGATCCACCTGTTTGGCAGGTAGCAGCTGCAGGAGCAGAGACGCACACGCAGCGCAGCGCCATAGCGTAGAGTCAGCATGAGATAGCAGGGCCATGGACAGGAAACTACCCTTCTTTTGACTTGCTTTTGCTCTGTTTTTTTGACCCAATCTCCTTTCTTCTACAATGCATCGACAGCGCATCGGGAATACGGCTCTGAACAAAGTTTTGCTCTTCTATCTGACCGTCTGTTTCGGTGAGTAACCAAACCAGGCCACGCACGGTCACGCTGCTGGATCCTTTTCCTCTCGCATACACACGGATTTTCACTTGTTTTTGTAATGTCATGTAAATAAATAAACCCCTCTGTGTGTAATCATGTCTTATTGCTTCCAGTTTGCATTATTTCACTTCAGTTTAGTCCGCTACGTGTCACACAAGTCTTGTATATAGTCGCGTAAAATGTTGCCCTGTAGAATAATGGGAAATGGCACAGCGAGATCAGAGAGACGTGAGACAGGTGCCATTTGGAGACATGCGCCACTGTCCTATCTGGGTCCTCCTGGCGTCCTCTCACAACAGGCTGAATAAACGGACTGTCCTGAGGCCTTGTCTGTTAAAGCTGGGGTACTTGATTATTTTTTATTATCTCTTTTCGACTGTTGCACTGAGCCAAAGCAATTTCCAAGTCTGTGACCTCCTGTTACTTACGTGGCAATAAAAATGATTCTGATTATTTAAATTTCATAAAAACTGCGTGTTGTTTGTCCCAATATATACAGTCTATGGTCCCAACAGATAAGAGTCTTGTAAAAGTCAGACAAATCAGACCACAATATCCTGTTCTTGCCTTAAAAGAAAACATGTTATCTTTTGTGTACTTGTAAAAATGAAGGTATGCAAGTTACTATTTTGACGCTATGGGCTGAGGAGGGTCCTGTCTTTCACTTTTATATCTGGAAAAAGTAATTTAAAGATGTGACTGAGACCAACAACAAGTTACATGTGAAATCTAGTGATTGAACCAAACTGTTAGTAAGCGAGGAACTCCTTTTCAAGTTTGAATAATGTACAATATTGTAATAAGTAATTGTTAATGAATGATTTGTTATACATTTGTTTGTAGTAACATTTGATAAGTAATATTTGATGTACATTGAATTAGAAATACATACACACTCAACTCAACAAGTGGACAAGATGGACTGTATTACTGTTAATGCTGATTCAAGCCACAATTGCCTTTACATAGTTTCATTGTTATGATTTGGACATTGGGTTCCTCAGCTTTAAATGTCTACATTTGCTGTGTCGTCTGATCACGTGGTTATAGTTGGGGAGGTGATACTGCTGCAGGTGACTACCAAAGGTACATAGTTCACATAAGCAATAAGTTGGTTGTGTTTGCAGACAGCTGGGTGCTCTGGAATGCAGGCCTCTCTCTGCCCACTAGATTAGATTAGATTAGAAAATATGGCTCTTCAATTGCATTATATTTCAAACTTGAGAAATGCAATCCCCCACATCGAATCACAGCATTACATCTGTGGGTTTTGATGTAACAAAACACAAAGCGTCTTGTTAGATCACTCCCTTTAAAAGTCACTTCAGTATCATGAAGTGGTAGATTCAATTGTATTAGCATATTTGTAAGGCAGAGTGTAGTCTTGGCATTAGAGCAGTTCTGTTCAGCGGCGCGTACGACTGAATGATTGTATATTTAGTTTCAAATGAATGTTTTGTGAGTATTTAGGTTTTTTGACAAGCACTTTGAGTTGCCCTGTGTACGCATTGTGCAATATAAATAAAGCTGCCTTGCCTTAGATAACTTGCCGTTTCTAAGACCCCTACAATTTATGCAGACGTCTTTATTGGCATAGTTTTATTTCATACAGACTGTGTCATACTGCATACCATCTTGCTGTGTAAATCTTTCATTGTGACTGTACTTAAGTCAAAAGTGCTTTCTAGGGAAAGGTGTCACAATGTGCATGCATGTAGGCTGGGGCACACACAATTTTTTTGCGAGTAAAACAAATACAAGATGACATTTTTTTATGGACAATACAATTATACATTATTCACAAAGCCCCACTTTCCGTAGCATCAAAATATTGTATACCCTATATACCCTAATTTATAAACTTCTGGATATTGTGACCGGTCTGTGCCAATGGAGTGAACTGAACCTCAGCTTATTTATAACTTTTTTTCAAAATATAATCTTACTCTTGTGGCTCCTATCTCTGGACTCGCCTCGGTCTCACCCCTGTGTCTATAAATCAACGTATAGACCCTGTTCTGGAAGACCCTGGACTGTAACATTTATTAGGCTGCGGAGTGAAGAAATCCCAACCAGTCAGTCTAAACATGGACAACTCTAAATTAACTGTCAAACTCCTTGAGGAAAATGCACATTGGGACCACTTTAAGCCCTATTTTTGTAGTCGACTGCATATATTGCAGTGAAGGGATAGTCCGATGCAAATGCAGTTATTATGCACTGATTATATAGTCAAATTCATTTTGTGCCTTCAGGTCAAGATGGCACTCTGCCTTTACTGTACTGATATGCTAATACAGGCATGTTTTTGTTGACTGAATGTTTTTTTAAATTCTATTAATATGCTATACTATTAATAATCAAATTAACTTGCTGAAGCTGGACTCTGATGAATGCCAATATGTCTTTCTTTACACATTGCCAGAAATCTTACTAAAGGAGATAAATAGATCCACCCATTCCATTTCTTCCCCTTTGTTCCTTTCTGGGTCAGAGATGGATTGATTTCGATAACATGTAATTAATGATCAGGGTTTGATATGTCGCAGAAGTTACAAGTAATTACTTTGTTTTATGTAGATCTAAACATATCTCATACTGATTGAATGAATGACTAGAGCTGAAAAATATCTACTATAGACAGCAGACACAATTGGCAAACCACAAATACGGCAATTATGAAGTCCTTACTAAATACATGCATGCCTTTGTGTAAAAACAAAAGTATAATTTATTTAACTTAAGTCTAAACTAATGTATGAGACATCTGTTTGTTGAGACTATTCTGCTGGGTTCAACTTTCTACTTTTTATGCAAAGACTCTCAAATTACAGGCAAAAAAAAAAAAATCAACTTGAGGCCCCGACTACTGAATAATCAAAACATACTGAATATTTTGTAGTTTTGTTTGAGGAATTTGACATACTATTTTACCTAATTTTACTAAAACTATCTTGCTTTGAGTCAAATATTTACTGAAATACAATGATGTTTTTACTGCTGAAAAAACCCAATCATGGATCTCTGGTCTCTACGCACAAATGACCTGTAGGTTACCCTAATAATGCCACTTGTCTAATGTAGGTTGATGGCGTGAACATTATACTTATATTGAGCCAAGCAAAACGCAGACAGAATGCAGTGGGTTTGGAGTCCGATGCTGGATATGTAAATATATTTTGTATTCTTCCTGGTACATCTTTTTCCAGTCAGAGATGCATTTTATTATATTCTGTGGCTCGGTGCAGGCTGCGGTCTCCCTCTTCCTTTCATATTTGCTGTGGACATTGCACTTGCTTGATGTCAGATAGCAGGAGCATTCAGCAGACGCTCATAGAATCAGAAATAGCATTTGAGATGGTCGGGGGCACAGTGGCGCTGAAGGCATTTGACAGACACATAAGTAGCTATAGACTGTCAAATGTGAGCACTCAGGCTGCTGTTTGTGTGTCCGTCAAAGGAACAGTGCTGACGATGCTCAGGCCGAGCGGCGGCAAATCTCAACACGCCATCGCTTTGCATTTACTCTGTCACAACACAACAACAGCCGTTATTATGGCAAAGACGACACACACAATGACAGTTTTTGTATTCATGGTGTGGTATAAAGTTGCCACGTGTTTGTGTTCTGGAAGAAAACTTGAACGATCTAAACTAAAGCTTGAGCACATTTTAAGTATTTATTTAGCTAAGGATTCATTTATTAGTTTTTAACGTTTTAAACGTTTGTGATATATTTTTACACACATGTATTACTGTTTGTCAGCTGATAGGTCAATGATTACTTTGTTGATTAAGTGACTAGTTTATGGCAAATATATTTTCAATATAATTTTAATAGTGCACTCTTGATTTGACTCTATGGAATTTTGATTTAAAAAGGTCTCCTACATTTTATCATAATGTCATGAAGAAATGTGACTTTTGGTAAGAAGTCTGTTGTATAGTTAATTAATTATTGTAAGATAAGAATTCCTTTATTGGTCCCACAGTGGGGAAATTTCGATGTTGCAGCGCATAGACAGGACAGTAGTAAGAGCACACAGGGAGCACACAATATATACAAATAAGTAGTAGCTATGTTTCTTAGCTAACATAACTAGCTGTAGATGCTGAAAATGCTTCAATACCAGTCAAAAGATATATATATTGTGTATGTAATGTGTATGTAATATTACAATTATTTGGTGATTTCTGAAATGTGTGTACTTGATTGACTAGATAACATCTATGTTTGTGTCTTTTTCAGTGCCCACTTTTGTCTGGTCCATCACAGTGAACTCTCCTGCAGAGCTCCATGCATCTAAAGGGGACACGGCCACTCTGTCCTGCACCTTCACCTCCACCAGCCCCCCCACCAGCAAGATGACTGTGGACTGGTCATACAGGCCCCAGACCGGAGGACCACCACAAACTGTGAGTACAACTGTGTAATACAGAACGCAAACAACAGACCAATGACTCAAACCTTTACTTATTCATTTGATCAAAATATAAACAATTAAGTGAGAGTTTGTTGTGGATTAGACTGTTGTCTCATTGGAAAACCAAGGAATTCTTGGTCATCTCTGGAAATACTTTACCGTGAACAATCTTACCATGAAACTGACAAAGACCCTTCATTTTTTCATATCTAGTTTCTAGACCGTGTACATACTTATTACAGTAGGAGTGCTACTGATGGGACTTCAATTTCTACAGAATATAGAGTGCTGTAACTTCATTTAGTCATCCTGAGGTAAATTCTTAGCTTGGTTTCTTGGCTTCCGACAAAGATATATGACAAAAATGTGAAGATAGCGAACAGTGTGCATTCGTCCCCAGTTACCTCTCCCATACATGGTGGTACTATAGAGTGGAATAGCTGTGGGTATAGAATATTTCCTGAGTCTGTCAGCGGAGCAGGTGAGAGCAGCTCCTGCCTCATCAGAGAGCTGCTGCTGTTGTTCGTGATGAGAGTTGTCAAATACTCGACTGGTTAAAAAAAGGTCAATAATTCTTATTCAGACTTATTTATTTGTCCCACCAGGGGCAAATCCTTTGAGCATCCTTGGGCATAAAACAAAAAAAACCTAATAATAATATTGATCCCTTTAAAGAGTGTTTTAATCGGCCTGTCCAATCTGTGTGTATACATAAAGTAATTTAAAAAGCCACCCTAAAATCATGATTAATGTTAAAATTCGTTCACTCCAGTCTCCTTTTTGCTGCTGGTTTCTGAAACACAAATTAGACATTACCCATACAAGTAAAATAATGGGCTGGTCGACAAGAATAGCATGAAACGAGAGCCCTGACATGATGGATGAATGCACTAGTGATTAACTACCAGGCTGTAATTGTCCCACTGTAACCGACAATGGACAAGAGTCTGAACAATGCATGAAATAAAGTTGGTTTTCAAATATATTTGTTATTGGAATTTGAGGTTTACGTTTACGTAGTGCTATATTTCCTCCATTCTCTAAAAGGGATAAATAAAAGTCTCATCTTGTGTCAGGGAACACTGCAGCTTGTTAGTGCAACACTCTCCTCTCATCTCTCAAGATAAAAGGATGATACTGCTGTTTTATGATCACACTGTGTGAGGAGACAGCTTTACTTGATACATATTTATTCCTATTCTGTCAGAAGCAGAGCGGTGTTGTGTGCGCAGCTGCGTCACCGTAGGCACACAGTCTATATTTGGGCTTGTTTAACCCTGACTCTTGACAGGCGTCAGCAGACTGAGCTCCAGGTTTTCTCCCAGCTGCACAATCAACTGCATTTTATTGTGGTTTGTTCGGGTTTACATTTAATATTCGGAATTATGCATCTGTTTTTCCATTTTCTTTGTTTTGTTTAAATGGCACAGTTCATTCTAGAGCTGAACAAAGACAATGCATCAAAACAGAACACAATATTAAGTATATCTATGAAAGTAAGTATTTAATTCACTCTAAATGAGCCTGACACAGTAACCGCTTATGTATTCTATAGATACATGATTCATAATTTGACTCACTATACCACTAACTAACTTTTTGGTTTTGACTTACGTAACTTACTCACGGACACAAATAAAATCCTTCCACATATAAACTTTATTGTTCCAAGGGAAATTTGCTGTGGAATACAATACTGCACAGATCTGCATTAATGAACAAAAATAGAATGAAATATTCAGGACAAAAACGTCAACAGGAAAGTGCAGTAGTGCTTTGAAGTCTGTCTGGTCCAATTCTGCAAAAAAAAAAACCAATGAGGATCTGAATAAATAAATTAAACAGTTTTAGGATGTATTCAGTATTAGGATTGTTCTGCATCTCCCTAGCGACAATGTGAGGGCAGGATAAAGCAAATAACGCGTTTTTGCCCGTAGTGAATCATCATTGCTCCAGTCAAAGGCTAAAGTGAATACATTTGGTTCCTGAGTGTGAATTTTTGTTTTTACAGCTGCCTTTTGTTAACTTTCCTCTAACTGCACCCGTGAACCTGAATCAACTTTTCTGCTCGGCTTGGCCTTCACTGCCCTTGCGGTTCGTTGCTTTTAGAGAATTGACCAGTGAAGCCACATCTGGTCAGTTAGCGTAATGCCCTTTCCTCTGCGGCCATATTGTGGTCTTGTACTAAAACGTGAAACTGAATCCACTGCTGCTCCTAACGGCACTCATCTGGTTTAAGTCCCACTGACCGTTCCAACCAAGGCCGGCCACATAATTCAACTCCTCCATCTCCTCTTGAACATATCCATCGGGCGGTTCGTTGTAATTGCATTTGGACCATGGGAATCCATAGTGTGGTGCGGCCGAATCCCTATTTCAGCTGCATTTCCCTTTAGAGGCACTCAGAGTTAAGTGGTGGCTAATGTTTTGTGGCTCCGCTCGGTATGGAGTGCTGTTAGTTTAGTCATTAAGGCGTTTCAGAGTGTGTATGGGAGGAGCAGTAAAGTCGGAGAAGTTTGCGCTCTCACGTGTCGTACACCGTCATGGAGGTATTACGAGAAGGTGTGTCAACAGAAAGAATTCCACCCTTGTTTGTTCACAGCTTTTTGTGTCTTTGCATTAGATGACGAGCCTTTTACCTGCTTTTGTGTGTAGCAAGGCGGGACAATAATGTATGTTGGAAATGTGCTCTCTTTTAACGGTTCAAGGTGGGATATAACGGTCACTATTCATGAAGTAAAATGCCAAGAAAAAAATCTAAATCAACTTTGTCAATCCATGTAAGTAGTTCCTAATAGCTTGAAGAAGAAAAAAAAAAAGTTTGGTTCAATCACACATTCAGACACACTTTAATTTTGGGGATCGGTCTTTAAATCTGTTTTTTCAGACAGACCTTTCAAAAGGGCCGATCTGCTTTTGATGTGTAAACGATATAATGTTTTCAGTTAGATGAAGACGACATGTTGTGGTTCTTATTGTTCACAAGATGTTAGGCACTCGAGCTTTAATAATGTACATTCTGGTTCGGATGTCAATTACTCCAGAACAGAGGTCACCAAACCTTTTAGCCTGGACTATTATATATTATTATATTATGACGGTTTAACAATTGAATCATAATCAAGTTTGAACTATTCACAGTTTGACAAACAAAAGTCTTCTGAACTCTTAGTGAAGTTAATTATTGAGTTATTATGAGCTAATGGTGATTCTTTTTTATTTGAGTCATTTCTTTTTGTTCCATGTTATTAGCAGCTCTGTCTCCTCTGTGAGAGGCTGTGTTCTTGGCTTCATGTCTGTGGGAAAGACCATGAATGAACAGGTGGAAGGTGGTGTCAGAATTGTAATATTGCAGCCAAAGCGTTATTGTGGATTTGCCCCAGTGCTTCAGTGGTTTGCTTGATTACCTCCACCATAGCACTATGTTCTAGATGAAAAATAATATTTGAACTTTTCAAAGATGCAGAGAGGAGAGGATGAGACAAAGGCCAGGGGGACTTTGTGTAATTGCAAATTTTGGTAATTGAATTTGTTGATATGGCATTTTAGAATAAATTGGTGTTGTAGTAAACTCCAAATATTTCCAGACAAAAATCTCCTATATTAAATACTACCGTGTTTGTGTGTGTAATGTGTTTCTGGTTGTTTTGTAGTTTTGTAGCGGACAACAAAGGAGGGGAACTACTTTGTATATTGTAACATTTTATTTTACTAAAAGTGGTTTCTATAACTACTCGTGTGCCATAGTTTTTTTTATCCACATAAAAGATAAATTCACATTATTTTATAAGTCAGAATATTTCAGGTTTCTTCAGAAAACCACAGAAACTCTCTAAATGAAGAAACAGCTGCATGTTCTTTTGAACAAACATTAATAAAAGTAGAAATGTATTGGTTGAAGCTGGTAAATGAACAGATAATTGTTCAGCGTTTCGCTTCTTTCCCTGGGCTCTTTCTGCTTAAGATCTTAGAAATTACATGTACAATATTAGTTTTCGCAGTCTGCTTTCTCTGATGTATTCTGACTCTTAGCCTCTACATTGCCGCCTCAGCTCTGCCAACTCCTCAAATGATCAACTGTGGATGAATAATGGTGTATAACGGGAGATAGTTTTATCTTTGCCGACCGGCCAATCGCTCTGTTTGAAAAATGCGGCTTACAGCCCTGTGGTTACAAAGCCATAAAGCAGACAATGATTGCTGAAGTGATTTTATGTTTGCCCTGTAGTTTATTGGATGGCTGTTAGCAGATATGGCTGTTGACATTGTACTCAGTGTGTGAAGCTTAAGGCAGTAAATAAGACGAGCGTTTTACATAATCTGGTCTAAAGTGGCACAATGCACAGGGTGAGAAGAGAAATCTATGTGAATAAATAGTTGGTGATCTCTATAAAATGTGGTCTTTATGATTTGGTTTTGAGAAATCAGAGTATGCTTAATTATAATTGTATTGATTTGATACATTGATCACCAATGTTTTTTTTACTCTGTGATATGTGCCATTATTAGCTTAGTTTAATGTGTTGGTGGGCTGTTCGACAAATAACCAACGCAGACTTCCATATCACACACAGGCCAGCTGAGTGGCATGGTCCCTCCAATGTGTCAGGTCTTCCTTGGGGTCTCTAGCTAGTGAGACATACCTGGAACACCTCCCCAGGGAGGCGTTCAAGGGGCATCCAAAACAGATGCCTGAGCCACCTTAACTGGCTCCTCACTACGTGGAGAAGCAGCGGCTCTACTCCTCTCCCTAAGGGAGCGACCAGCCCCTTATTTTGACCGTAGTTGTAATAAAAATACATCTATAGTATAATGGCGAGACCAAATAGCAGTGTATATGCAGAACCCAGCCAGTACACTGCACTGTACATTAGTGACATGTTAGTACCATATGAACCAACTCTGACTCTGAGGAGCACAGGGACTGGACTCCTGTTAGTGCCCAGAGTCAGAACTAAACATGGGGAGGCTGCTTTTCAGATTCATGCTGCTAATATCTATCTTCATAGATTTGTCTTATGCAATATATGACATTTGAAACATTTCCCTGTTGAATTGATTTATTTCAGTCTTTATTTGGATTCAAGTTTTTGTCTAAACCAGAACAGCTGCTCATTTTATCACCGAGCACTTGAGAAACAGTCTGAAACATGTTTTTTTTTACCAGAAATGGAAAAATGCTTTTTGCTTTGAGATCATTCAGATGTTATCCAGCGAATACTGTAAGAGCCTCGTAATGACTTCTGCTGCTCGACTGGCCCAGAGAAAGATGTGGTTAAGAAGAAATAGCCTTTCTAATCCAGACCATTCATGTTGAAAATAAAAATAAGCACAAACTATAAAACTCAAATCTTGTCTATTAGTCGTTCCATGATCACATGCATTTATTATTTATGTTTTTTTTTAAATTAGTTCTGAATAGGGACAGTACACATTAATCAACATTACTGTGACTGTGCCAGTATTAGGAGTACAGTATTAGCTCTGCAGACAGTGTGTAACTGTAGTCCTAAAGAAAGGTGCAACTACTCAACCTGTGTGTCTTTAAAGAGACGCCCCTGCTTTGGAATGATACATGAAGATTCCAAATTACAGGTCTGGTCTGCGAAAGGGCGACTCATGTAACGGTAATAAATCACGTTGCCTTAATTTAAAGAACAAACACAAAGGGATGACGTACATTAGGCGAGATAGATTTTCACAAACAACAAACTCTATTCAAGACTATATGCTACACTGCAGATGTGAGTCATGGTCAAGGTGGGATATAACTGATATACATTTGAGTGATGCTTTGTATATGAACTGTGCTATACAAAGTGCTTCACAAACAACATTTAGCAAGAATTTTAAATCAAGTTAAAATGCAATGTAAAGCGCACACAAACACAAGGCCTTCTGAAAGCAACTATTCAAAACACATTACATAACCCCCTTTGTGTTTAACAAAACAAACATACAAATGGCTCGTACTGTATGGCAAGGATGTTATGTAACTGCAGCATTGGAGAGGCTTCATGGGGAGGATGGATCTCCCAGGTAACGGATGCAGACATGTTGTGTAGTCTCATCAAACACATTACACACGCAGGTCCAGGGAATAAGAGCAAACACTTATATTCTTGATAACTAAAAGATTCATTGTCCCACAGCACCGCTCCAAATGTTGAGAGCGATCTCCTTCTGTGACTGAAATAAAGAAAGATAATCATTTACTTTCAGCACATATCAGTATAGTGACCCAGCTGTTGCGTTTGGCAGAGACTTAATGCAGGAGTAATATTGGACTGAATAGAAAAAATAAACTCAGTATGAAATATTGGGATTGGCCATTATCGGTACAGTTAATCGGTCGACCTCTACTACACTGTGGGGTCCTAAGCAAAGTGGCCGTGCAGATTTTGTGTTTCCACTTTTTAATACAGGACTTAGACGGGTGGATGCAGTCAAGATTGGCACAGCTTTAAAAATCCTCAGGGATAAAGTGATTCTGAGCAATAGAAAAATCCCAAATGATTCTATACTTGTGTCCATAAAGGGGTCAGAGGGTTGTTCAGTGACTCCGATCGATCTGCTGCTTCTGTGTGCTGCAGCCTTTTATTCTGTGATGAAGGCTGTGCTCATGAAACCTTTTGAAATATAATTACTTTTTATTTCTTACACCATAACTCATTTGGTTTACTACTCGAGGCTCTTTTGGAGCACTAAAAAACGTTTCCGATCAGTTAAAGAAAGACTATTCTTTGGACAAATGATGAGTTTAATTTCAATTTTGTTTCATGTATTTAAAAAAGGTGTACAATAGGGTAAGAAAAAATTAAATGTTAAATGTCTCAACCAGTGAAATATTGGTCACATCAATAATCTTTCACAGATCTACAACTCTACACTATTGCCATGAATGAAAAATCAAATAATTCAATAAAAACAATGATTTTTACAACACACAGCACAACAATGGTTTGGTAGTTTTGATCAAACGCATGGATATGGTTTGGGACATCCAATTATGATTCTTGAGACAATGCATACATAATATAGTTCTTCAAAATCAGTTTTATCCATTTCTTCTCTTGGGATATTTTCCCCATTGCGTTAAAGAAGAAGAAAAAGTTGTAAGTCATATCTGTCTCGGATATTGCTGAACTTGCTTCCCGTCGTGCTCCGGCTGACATTCTCTCAATGGCAAAAATAAAAGGCGTACATTTGAATGTTATGAATCTTATATAAGCTGTGAGTGTGTGAATGCGTCACTGCGACTGCATAATTTACTACTCTGTGCCCGACTCTTCATCACCCGTGAAGCAATGAACCCCGTCGTTAATATTACTGACCACACTGTGTGTCTATTTTACACTGATCTTAAAATGAGGTGTGAATTTATTTCAGAATATTTTGGTTTTTCTATTCGTAAGAAAGCAGAGTCTGCGTGGCCTTGATGAGACATTCTGTGAACTGTGATCTTCAAATGGTTTTTTCAAGAAATTAGTATAAATCTATGACGGCAATGCGTTGTTTTTACCTTTATTTTATGGTTCTAAATCTAAATGCATAAAGTTTTAGATTTAAATGCATTCTTATTTATTCAGTGTTTGACAATAATACAGTACAGTTTTAAAGATCACCTTTGGATCTTCCTCATTGCATCAATGTTCCAGACAACCTGAATACACTTACCTGCGGAATATGATAAGGACTTCAATAAAAATTAACTGAATCGATATATCAGCACAAACATCCTGTCAGCTCCGAGATGCAGTGATAAAGACAAAATTACAATTCAAGGTGCACAGACAGATAAGCTTTAGCCTTTAGTTTTAGCGTGGACGATCTGATATTTGTTTTGTTTTCTTTATTTACTTGCACCCTGGCAGAAGCAAACTCTGTACTTAATAACGTAGATGAGGCATACAGTATTTAAGCCAGACAATGTTAAAGGAGAGTGAAGGAGGCAAAGACCCACATTGTTTTCCTTGGCTCAATTCCAAAACGGTGACTTTAGGAGAAAGCACACGTCTTCTTCATCCCCATGATTTTTATTTGAATGTGTTAAACATGGCGTTAATTAGGAATTAATTGAGATTTAAGAAAAAAAATGCCTCAGTCCAAACTCTTACTAGAGACGTGCCTCATCGGGCAGTGTGTAAAAGATAAACTTTTTTTCCTCGAGGAGAAAAATGGGAAAATGACAAACGGTTTGTTCTTGTGTGCAGTTCTTCCACTTCTCGTCGCGGGCGTTCCCACCCTCTGAAGGGCAGTTCAGCGGTCGTGTGAAGTGGCAGGGGAGTCCAGCGCGCGGTGACGCCTCCATCCTCCTCATTAACGCCACGCTGAATGATAATGGGACATATACGTGCTCCGTCAGGAACCCTCCCGACGTCCACGGCTCCCCCACCTCCCACTCCGTGCTCACAGTCACACCCAGAGGTACCCACACACGAGCGTCACGGCCTAAAGCTCTGCACCAGCGTCTCGGTCTGCGTCACACTGCTCCAGTCTGTGTCGTCATCGTGAGCATTCAAACACATATTCACTACTAAGTAAACGGTTTGACACGGGCCAAGGACTGGGGGCATGCTAACCAAAAAACAAATCATAAACCATCATATTTTTTAGACAATTGTTTTTTTTTTTTGTTATGTATAAAAGGATTTTGTTTAATTAGCAATATATTTTGTGATAAATATAGATTTTGGTTAAATACTATTTTCTTTTTATAGTTGGTGAGTTGGAGATTAGTCAACGTTTATAAAGAATCTAAAAAAAAAAGAGCAAACAATGGTGTATTTTTGTTCAAATGTCACTGAATCGTAATGAATTTTATCTGCAAACTCTAAACGATATCTAGCCAGAGTGAAACATTCTGGCTGAATTTAGATGTTCTATTATTTCACTCACTTTTTGTCTTCCCCTTCCTATTCAGCTAACGTCTGATCCAATTGCATCAAATGAGTAGTCATACGTAATAGTTTTGAGTGTTCATTTGGTATCAGGGAGAGCTTGTCCAAAGCGTGAATGTAAAGATAATGGAAAATGCTGGAGACTGGTAATGAGGCCGTAACACTGGCCATCGATTGAAGTCCTTCTCCGAAATTGGCTTTTTAATGAGCGTTAAGGTTGTCTCTATGTCAAAATGCATGACAATGTGACTAAGAGTAGATATGAGTAAGTGCTGCTCCCTTATGAAATATTTCTCTTTTCTATCCCTCCAGGGTATGGTAAACATCTGTGTTGTCAGTCTGTCTGTAGGCAAGATTGCACACACAACTATTTGGCTGATTGTGGTTGAGTAGATGGTTTAGTGAACTTTTAGATGTTGGCGGGGTATGCACACTCTAAGTCCACGTTCTAGTTCTACCATTGCCTTACTAATTTCCACTCACTAAATGAACAAATATTCCTTTTACTGCGGCTGTCTGAACAGGCTGATGATTAGGCCTGAATTATGTCAGAAGGAGACTAAAGTACAGTAACTACAAGGGCAATAATCTAGCATCCCTTCAATTGTATAAATCCAGTCAAATGTACATGACTCCGTGCATCTGCAAAAGGAAGTCTAGTAAATGAGAATGGCGGTGATACATCGTGGTGCATAGATTCGTAGTTTCTTGCTCTATTCTCGTCTTGCAGAAACCACCCGAGACCAGGGCCCTATTGCTATGCAGCGTTGGTGTTGTGGACTTGTTAACATCTCTGACTGTTCTCCGCAGCTGCCAGAGTTCGATTCTCCGACGTGACGCTGCTGCTGGCCTTCATCCTCCTCCCCTCTGCTCTGCTCACCTTCTTTCTCATTGGTCGGATCCTCTGTCCCAAGAAGCAGCGCAGCCAATCCAAGCCCACCCGATCACCCATTGAGGTCACGGAGGGGTGAGCCCGATTCATTCACCCGATCACTCCTCTCTGAAGTCTCCCGGGGCCGAGTGCCTTCGCTGCAGGCTCTGACGCTCAAAGATGTGATTTTATATTGCTCGTTTAGCGAGGTTTAAGTCAAAATTTGAATTAGATTTCGGGGGCTCGTCGTGTGCAGTCCCTTAATTAAATCTGTAATTAGATAATGGAAGACGGGAACCTCAGTGCTGTGTGCTTTGGAGGTAATTGCTGGGTCTTGGCGGGGGGCAAAGATATCGGCTGAATCTTGATATATCTGAGGTAATTAGTGTGATAAATGTTAATTTTGTAAGGATTACCTCGCTGTGTCCTTATCTTTTGGTAAATATTGTACTCCATATCACTCATACATGTTACTAATGTACCATGCAATTCCATTTTATCTGATGCCAATGAATGTTTGTGATAAGTTAAACTACAGTAATGTTGACCCTTTAGGCGCCAACATTGTGAAACTGATACAAGAGCTCCTTGGTGCAGGACATATTTTAATTTGGGTTATTTCTGTTATTGAATTTAGTAGTCCGATATTTCTTATAACTCAGAGCCCATTGGTTTCACACCTAGGGGCTGAGTGGATAGCTTCTCAGCAAGAAGGTCCTGAGTTTGAGTCCCGGTCGGAACAGTCTTTCCACTCAGGCATGTTCTGCCTGTGTCGGCGTAGGTTTCCTCTGGGTGCTCCGGTTTGGCCTAACACTAAAACACAGAGGACAAATTTCCCTAAGGGAACAATAAAGTGCACATTTACATCACATTTTGGCACAAACTCTGCTCAGGGACTCAAACCTATCACCGACTTTATTTCAATCCCCCTAGAAGTCCACAATTGTTGATATGGATTGAAATTAATTTTTTTTCAATTACTGAAGCCTGAAACAATATTATAAGGCTCAATAAGTATGACATTTGAGCTGATTGTTTTTTTTCTTGTATGCTCTTGTTTAGAGAGGAGTACTCCACGCGCCCCGCAGCAGAGACCGTGAAGAGTCCCACGTGCTGCGAACTCTGCTTCATGGTACAGTCCAGTCCTTACATCATGAATAACCCACAAAGACTGGTCTGCAGATCCGTTTCACATGCTAAATTTTACATGTCCCGGCTCCTGACAACGGGACTGGAACGTTAATGAAATATTAATCATGCTAATGTAGTTTTCTCTCTGTGTCTGCCATGGGGACGCGTGTCTCTCACTGAACTTGTGACTTTGCTGATGTGTTTAGGACCCTGATGAAGAAGAGTATTATTACAACCTGAAGAAGACGCCATCCATGGAGGAAGAACCGTATGTGGAGTCCAAATGTTAGTGAGGCCTGCTGGTCAGAGAATGTAACTACATCTTTGAAGATTCTTTATTTTGAGACTAGAAGGTGCTCAACACAACTGTCCTGGCAAAGGGCTCTTCTAAATGTTATTTTTTTGGTTGAAATGTTCCATAGTGTGGCATTAAACGTATCCATCTACAGACCAGGAAGTGGCTAAATTGCGGGTCATATGTCCGTGGAGGAAAGCCAACCTAAATATAAATGTTTTGCGGCGTAAAAACAACTTGATATGAATACATAACACATTTTGTTCCATACTGGGATTAGCTGTGGCATAAAAACAAGAATGTACACTGCAAAAGATGACCAAATATAAGATGATAAATTCTTGAATCAGAAGTGTGTTTTTATCTTTCGGTATTGAGTATTTTAAAACAATATTTTCCATGGGACATGCAGGTTAGCATTGATGTCTCTTTACTTCAGTGTCGCATTGGCAAATCTTGTTTTAAGACTTTTTGCTAAATCTTTGCTACTTCAAGCAATATTTCACTTTTGTTGTTGTCACTTTTGCAGTGGCCCCTTTCAGAAAAGTTTAGCTATGCAAGTTTTAAGCCCTGGACATACTAGAGGATTATTTGTCTGAATTACAAGCCTCCATGACTTATTTTTAGCTGCAATGTTGCCGCTCTGTCATAATTTGTAACATATTAATTTAAAACCTAGAGCAACAGCCAATGAAGCAGAGGGCGAGGGGCGCAGAATACATAGAATGAAAACCACACACCTCAAGTTAAGTCCTTTTTGATGACTGTTTGGACTGGATCAGTAGAAAATTTGATTTTTGTATGTTTTTGTGTTCTAAGAATCCTGTAGCATGTGCTGGATACTATTTAAATCATGCTCTGTAATTTTCTTCACCAAAACAAAACTAGCAATACTGTTTTCCATTGTTCTTTTTTAACAACTGCGTGTCTTTCTGAGGAATTGTTTATTTGCCTCTAGAACATTTTAATTATGCATTTCCAGCATTTATGTTAATATATTCCTCGAGGGCAAGTCTCAAAGAAAACCAGTTTATTTTCTGAAAAACCGCAATTTGCTCTTGCATAAGACACACGATGGAATGTTCTCATTTTTGCTATGAGATTTATTTCCACTGACACTTTGTCTGTTTGGTAACACAATAAGCACTATTATGTATTTATGGCTTCATCTGTTTTGTTTAGTTGTTTGAATTTCATATTGTGAAGGACGTTTTGTAATTTATTGCTGAGGCTTAAGGCTGTATGAATTCTGTTAAGTAATGCTACATTTCTGTTGATCTGTAATGATTCACTTTTGTCTAATGCATACATTGTACATAGAGTGTGTAGTTGTATAGTTTTTTTTTAGTCATGTCATTTTCTGTTGTTAGGGATGTTGAGCTCTGTTGTGAGTAAAAAAAAATTGGTCATGGAAGCACTGCCTCCTTTGCTGATTAATCTTTTAGGTAATGTTTTTGCCTAAATAAATAGTTTATGAGATACATATTTTGCTCATTCAGATTCTCATTTGGGTCTATGAACATTGCTGTCAAATATTTAAGAAACGTCTGGGACTCTAGATTAAAAAGTGATTAAAGAGATTAAAGAGAGGACTCACAAATCAAGGTTGGGTAGGGAGGATCACTTAATGCTTTTATTTATGCAATATACTGTAATACAAATATTTAGTGAGATCCTGATACTTCACAATATCACGTTTGTTTTTGGATTATGAGCAGAATCCATTACTCTGGTGTTAACTAAACTTTATTACCTCTGAACATTCTTTATGGAAAACTCACCAATGTTTTTGAAATGCAAAGCAATGTATACATGTAAACGACTAGATTAAAAACTTATTTCTTCGAATTTATATATATATATACCCTGTATTTACAATTCTTGATTAAACTCTTGATTACACAATTGCGCCAAAAGCTGCCGGAGCGACACTGGACCCACTGTTATCCTTTATGTATGCAACATTTAGAGGCTGGTATGAGCTGAATAAGTTCCAACCTTTTACTTAATATTTGCATCTATCAAAGTTTATTATATGGTTACCAATAATATGAAATGTTGTACTTTTATACTGGCAATTTACCCATGGTGTTCCGCTTTATTTGACCTTATTTACAAGGTTTTACTTCACTCAGTCACATGCTTGACTAGATTGTGTTTTGTCCGCAATAAAGAATAGATTATGGGAATGAAGATTAAAAGAATTTCTCATGTCAAAAAAGTAGTATTAACCATTCTTTCACAATAATAAACTGCCGCTTTCTTGACGATGGATTTTCTCTCACTGATATGTTAAATGGAGTTGCCGTTTGATCAGCTCTTTTGTTTTGTCCTTTGCACTATTCATGAACGTTGCTGAAAGTTTTTTTTGTAGAAAACTCCCAAGGACAACGCACGGTCCCAAAACTGCACTTACGAACGTGCTCAAGTATCTTTCAGAGTCGCACGAAATTAAAAAAAACAAACCGAGTCAATATACAAAGGGAAAACCGCACTTCCATTTACATTGTTGCTTGTTCGTGCCCTCGGGGTTTTTAATAATTTACACACTGCTCCGGTGAAAAAGATTATCATTCCTGCTTCATCTGGACTGCCATGGCAACAGCTTGCTCATGTCAACTGGTGGAAAAAATGAATAAAATAAAATAAAAATGCTCTTTCAACGAGCGCATGACCAGATTGAATTTCCCTGTGTTCAGAAACGAGGCCTGACTGATACAGTGAGCTGTTATTACTGCATCGCTTACTTGAATATATCAACCCAAATGTTCCAGCCCCTCCCCCATCCATCTCTAAACTCAAAGAGGAACATCTGCTCTCCATGTTATGTTGTAGGTAAATTCAATCGTCGCAAATGCATACAAGCAGATCATTTGGGATTTTGGATGCCAGTGCTGGTCATGTGGCATCAATGATAACTATTTTTTGCATGTGTTTTGTTTTGTTTAGTTGTTTTTAAACATTTAAAATTTGTCACTGCTGTAAGCTACATTTATGTTTGAGTAATCACTATTTTCAAGCTTTTTCTGCATCTTTTCTCTAACTTTTGTCCATTGACTGTTATGATGATATGATGACTGCGTAGTGTCATTTCAAACTTGTTTAGGTACTAGAAAAAAAAAAAATATGTACACATTTCGATACTTTTGGACAATGCTTTTTTTTCCACTAAAATTGATATCATTAATGGGGATAAAGCACCTTCTTCCATGTGTTCGCTGTGGGGGACACGTCACATCTAAAAAAACTGCAAACATGATTTCTTATAGCTTTTTATTTCAACAATGACTTTTTTCTTGCCACTCGTACATAAAAGGCCAGATTTGTGTTGAATGCGACTAATGGTGGATCCAATTTGTCCAGCTTGTTAAATCAGATGGAAAGCTGTGTCTTGGTAAGTTTGCAGTGGTGCCGTACTAAAGGTGACCTGGTGTACTTCTATAACGTAAAACACAGCAACACATATATTTGAATAGAGTAAAACTGTATCCAAAAGCAGCCTGGGAACTCTGTGACTGGCTGCTGATCAGTGTGGATGTAACATGGAGGTGACGACGTCTCAAAAGGAGGACGTAATCACATTGGGGCCACTTCCTCGGTGTTGGCCGCGGAACATTGACTGCTTTTCGATACGCCGTGGACAGTGTGACATTATTGATCCTCGTGGCCTGTACAGCTGCTTAACGAAACGATCAAATAAGTGCAGGTTCATTTGCATACTAAGGAGTTTGGATGAACGGAGAGTCTCGGTTTCTGGGAAGCTTTCTCTTAACATTTTGTTCAGACTTGTTTATCATCTGTGTTGTGACTGTTAATTAAGTGGATGATTTCTTATTATATTTTAAAGTTCACTTTGGATTTCCTGTTGTGTTCCCTCCTTCAGAAATGGACATGCAGTATGAACTCTGAACTTGCATGCATCATGCAGCGTCGATATTAAAAAAAAAGGTAAATGAGTCAAAATTATTCTTTGGTTTGTCTGAAAAGAGCCTATTAAAGGATTTAAGTTTGACTTTTTGTGTGTAAATTAATACAATGTTGCCCCGATACTGTTTATGCTCCAAAATCTATCAATCCAACAACCGAGAATGCAAATTTTTTTTTTTTTTATGTTCCGCCACATGTGAAAATAGATGCCTTGTACTGTAAATGAATTTGCCAGTGTTTTAAACTTGAGTCACACAAGGCAAATTATCACCAAATACAAAAAAACTATCTTCGCAGCTACAAATAAGGATGGTTATGTTATGATCTCATTGTTCAAAATCAAGGCACACATTTAATCATCATTGCTTCTAATGTGGACTCTGCCTCTGTGTGAATGTATTCCCTTTTTACATTTGACCTGGTTATAATGAATTACAGCTTCCAGACAATTTTGTCGTTCAAAAGATTGCATATTTCACTTTGAATTGTCAATCACCATGGCAGCGGCCCTCGTGTCTAAGCATTCCTACGCTCTAGGATTCTTCTGATGCAAGATCAGGATTCCCTTCCACATCTAGCGTTCATGCTAGAAATTGGAGCGATACACTTCTTTACTTAAAGTGAAACTAGATTGGTTAGATTTTCCCCAGTCTTTAGTCTCGCAATGATTTCATATTTTGAAGAGAATCCTTGAACAAACGGAGAAAGTGTGGGCTGAACAGCTTGCAGACTCCAGACAGAGGTAATGCAGCTTGAAATGGATTTTTCAACTTTGATTGTTCTAGTCTGCCATAACACTTTCCCTCATTAGTTAATGTCTGCAGAAAGATGGAGAATAGACTCGCACAAGTGGATTGTCTTATGCTTACACAATTAATTTGATTGTTTATTATTTGTTTTGAATCTAGTTTGGATTTTAGCGTTACAAAATGTCATCCTAAAAATTAACAAATTTAACTACAAGAATTAAATCATTGTAGGGGCGACAGTAGCTCAGCTGCTAGAGCATTGGCCTTTGAGCCTGAAGGTCATGGGTGTGAGCCCACCACGAGACCTACTTCACTCCCACTGATGTCTGCTGTCGTTGTGTCCTTGGGCAAGACACTTATCCCACTTTGCCTGAAGCCCCCGCTGAAAGATCAAGGCTGTGTCAGTGACAGAGCAGCCATCCTCCTGTGGACTCGCCACCTGCAGGAGGATCAGTGAGGGGTTGGTGCTATATGAACTGGGTGGCATCTCTGTCTGCCACTCCCCCGACCCAGAAATGGATTAAGGGGTAGAAAATGGATGGATGGAATTAAATCATTGTTGAGTTGACTTAAAGGTGATGTCTGCTTCTTCAGTTGTATTTATTTGATGTATCTATTGTGAAAAAAACCACTTATTATAGTTTATACAACTATGGTCAAAATATTGTCTATTCTCTAAATTATCAATCACCAGTCATTTTTGCTGTAGGGGTGAGGGGCCTCAGTTTTCTTTCAAGGATTTCAATAAATTGCGTCCTATCAGGGGTGGGGGCGGGTCTAACTGGCTCTTCTTCACAAATGGAAAAGTAACCAACCTTCACTTTAAGCATTGGCTGCAGGTGTCTCATTTAAAGCTGTGGTATCTCACTTTCAGACCACACACATTGAAACTGCAATAACTACCAACTCTCAGTTGATACTATCCACAAACATTCGTTTTCGCATTATTGTAATTTTAGCGTCTGAAATATCTTTGGATCAGCTTGTTCTGATCCTAAAAGTGAAACAGAGAGGACCACCCTCACTCAGCCAATCAGCAACAGGAATGCAAAAGATACTGACGTTTACAACTCAAGTTAGGTACAGCAGCTTTAATGCCAGGTTAGAAGTATCGAGCACAGTGCCATCCAAAAACTGTAACTTTGCCTTCACTTTTTACCACTTCCTTATAAAATTTTATGAAGACTGTTTATGAGCTATATATCCCCCGCAGAGCTCTCGTAAATTTAACAGCATGACATTTCGGAATGATAAAATGCAGCTTTCCGCTTTTTTATTTATTTATTTATCCCAAGCAATGGCATTGGACAACTGCAACCAGCTACTCCCAGCTCTTGTCCTGGTTATGTCCGCTTTGGGGTTAGCGTATAACTGGCAGAGCTAAAATGCAGCAGTGTGAATGTGTTAAAGCGGTGTTGCAGAGAAAAGCAGAGGGAATATGCTTGTGCCGACTCAGCATCTCTGCACTGCATGTGTGTCAGACTCTAGGCCACAATGACACTGAGGAACATATACATTTATAGTTTGGAGGCTTGAGAATTTAGCCCAGTTTTAAACAAGACATTTTGTTGAAAGCTGGACAATCTACTCATATAAAGGTAGTCCAAAAAGAGTCTTGTTCCAAGTAACATCAAACAAACCAGATACATACAACTAGATTACATTAGATTATTCTTATACCAGAGAGTGCTCTAAGATAGCTTCAGTGCATACAGTGCTTCTAAAATCATATCAAACATTGAAATTATCAATAGGGAAAAGTTCTGGGCAAAAAAAAAATATTCGTTGACAATTCGTTCACCTCTCTGTACTAAAGGGGAGTCTTACAGTTTATTCTTACAGAAGAATAACACATGCTGTCTTTTATTTTTTTCTTACCAAGAGCTGTTTGGCTGAGTGAGAGCTGAACCCCTTCTACATTATGTTAAAACTAAGGCTAGAACAGTTTTGGGAGTGAAGAACCAGATAAGTGGATTTCAGTATCAGAATCAATTTATTACCATTCGCAGAAAAACTACATTGGGATAAAAATGACTCAGGGGCACTGTTACGACCCGAAGGACAAAACATATTTGAGGACACAGAGACAGGTTTAGAGTTCAAAAATTGATTTTATTTATACATGTCCTTAACTGAACTCTAGTTTTTATTATACATTCATTTGAAGATTAATCAAAAGGAACCCAACCCAGTGTCCAGAATACAAAAACCCAAAGTAATCAAATTAAAGGTGGACCTGGTGGGCCAGCCAAAACAAACAAAATGGGCTGACACCGAACCAACCCTATACAGGGCCGTCCGGATCCGATGCCGACACCCTAACTAAAGAATAAACAAAACCCAAACCTCTAGACCAGCCATTCCCAAACTCAGTAACACCGAGGCCCCCTTAAAAATCTGACGGGTCTGCGTGGCCCCCCAAAATAATAACCAAGAAGACAACATTAAGAATAGGCTCTTCTGGTTATTTTATTTTGGGGAAATAGCCTCTGCTACAAACATTGTAATACAAAAATGATTACAGTGGATTATTCAAGTCAAATAATGAACACAAATATTTTAATATTACAAACAAAACATTATAAATTTAACATTAAATAATTATATTATTTTTTTTATTTTTTTTATGACCTCCCGCGGCCCCCCTGCAGTACCCTCGCGGCCCACCAGGGGGCCGCGGACCCCACTTTGGGAGACACTGCTCTAGACCCTCACCAACGAAAATGTAACCACCGGACCCACCAGATCAAACAAAAATAAGTACAAGGAAAAATGCTAACCAAATGGCTAAAGAAACCAGGGAGGCCGCAGACCTGGATCAAGAGTGAGCGCGCAGCGCGTGCACGCTCACCTCAGCAGGAAAGACTGAGAGCAGACCCGAGCTGCAAAATATACAAAACAAGTTACTCGAAATAAGTTACAAAACATTATCAAAAATGTAACCTATAAAATAACTTTATTAAAAAAAAATCTTACAAAAAAATATAAAACCCAAAAATACCTGGACAAAAAAAGATAAGACATAAAACCAAAGGGGAAAAGGTGCCCAAACATAACAGGCACCACCACCACAAAGCACACACACAAAGACAAAAAGAATAAAAATAGTGAGGCAAGATTTGATTGCATAGTTTCATTATTGTGATTTCAAAGTGGAATTTTGCAAGATTATAATCGGCCATATCCGAAGTGTCATTAGGGATTGATTCAGCTTCAACTATTGCCACCCCTTTTTCTGCACTGTGGTTATTAAACAAACCAGCCTCCAGGTCACTGATGTTAGTGGAAATGTTGCGTAGCCATTGGTCAACAATAGAAAGAAAATCTGCTTCAAGATCCGATGAACCTGTTTCAGATCTTAAAACCTTGTATCTGTTATTTTATTTAGTTAAATTTTGTTTTTTATTGTGTTCTATAGACATCACTGCAACGACTCTATTCTCTATCTGTTTGTACTTAAAGCAGCAGTAAGCGATTTTTGGGTGTTAATATACGTCTTAAATATTGATATATTCCAATAGCCATCACTTATATAGAGTGTTTGTACCTAAACACGGATCTCTCAGTCCTTCCAGTCTTCTCCCACATATTTAATAAAAAAACCTCACATCCTATGCGCTTATCCAATGACGTGAAGCACCGCCTTATAAGGGGTTTCTCCCGTGAGTGCCACGCGCACAACCTTCAAAACAAACATGGCGGAGAAGGAAAAGCCGCCTCCAGCGCTTGCTGCAGACTAAATACAATGGATTTATTAAATACAGGCAAAAACGGAGAAACAGAGGAACGACAAAAAGTAGGCAGCAACATGGTGACCAGGCTGCCATTCATGTTGGCGACCTCTAGCTCCGTGGATTCCTCTCTCCGACTGAACAGGTGAGCAATGTTACTCAGTTAGTGGCAGTAGTATTTTTGTTTATTATTTATACATATTGTTAGCCTGAACTGTAATGCGGGTTATTCACCAAGTTAGCTAGTTAAAAATACCAGCTGTTGTAGAAATAACGGCCGCATTTTGTGGCAATAACTGCGCATTACCTTGGCTTTCGCTTGAGAAACAACAACAGACAACACACATCGAAGCCTTGAGCCCACCTCAGTCATCCATAAACTCCGGTCAATTATTAGTTTCCCCACATGTACAAATTAAATGACCCATATCACCAGAGTTCCCCGTGAAGTGGTGTTTAGTGCAATAGCGTTAGCTGAGTTAGCATTAGCGTTCGCTGTTAGCATTAGCGTTCGCTGTTAGCATTAGCGTTAGCTGTTTAGCATTAGCGTTAGCCTGTTAGCATTAGCGTTCGCTGTTAGCATTAGCGTTAGCTGTTAGCATTAGCGGTTAGCTGTTAGCATTAGCGTTCGCTGTTAGCGCATTAGCGTTAGCTGTATAGAGCATTAGCGTTAGCTGTTTGCATTAGCGTTCGCTGTTAGCATTAGCGTTAGCTGTTAGCATTAGCGTTAGCTGTAGAGCATTAGTCGTTCGCTGTTTAGCATTAGCGTTCGCTGTTAGCATTAGCGTTCGCTGTTTAGCAATTAGCGTTTCGCTGTTAGACATTAGCGTTTCGCTGTTAGCATTAGCGTTAGCTGTTTAGCATTAGCGTTAGCTGTTAGCATTAGCGATCGCTGTTAGCATTAGCGTTAGCTGTTAGCATTAGCTGTTAGCTGTTAGCAATAGCGTTCGCTGTTAGCATTGAGCGTTTCGCTGTTAGCATTGCGTTCGCTGTTAGCTGCGTTAGCTGTTAGCATTAGCTGTCTGTAGTTGTGAATAAGATGTGGCTGCTACGAACACTTCTGATCTGTATGAATCGTTTTGTTTTTTAGCCATATAAACATAGTTGCTTGCACTATATATATATGTAGGTCTGCATTTCATTCTTCAATGACTAAGTTTTTCAACTTGCACTCTGTATATTAGTTTTATTGTTATAAAAACAATATCTCTTTACCTGAAATCTAACTTCCGTGACCACTACATACATTTTTATTTATTATGTATTGAGAATAAGTAAGAGTCTTGCTGACTACTACCAAATAAATTATGAGCATGATATAATATAGACATTGTAATAATTTACATGTCTTCATTGCATTCTTTTCTCTGTATCTTTTCCAGTATGGCCTAAATCAATTGGAATGAGGTCTTCAATGTACAAGAGTTCAAAAGCCTCCATAATGCAAGTTAAATAACTATTTAAAAAAAAACAATGCCATAACGACTAGATACTTTTCTGCTGACCTCTTCTTTCTCTAGTATTGACTGCGAAGACAAGACTTTGCTTCCAGAATTAGAAGATCGGCCATTGTCATCTCCTGAGGAAGACTTTACACCCCACATTTGTCATGTAGGTTGTTGTGAATGCATATATGGGACGCAGTGATTATGATAATGATGTTGTGATGTGTGTGTCGTTCATCCCTACAGTTGTGTTGCTGCCCTGAGGTCCAAAATGAATATCGATCATGTTTCCAGGCAGTCAGTGTTGACAAAACTGTCGCTGAGTTTCTTCAAAACAATCAAGAGGAGTGAGATAATCACTCGACTACCCAAAACAGCCGATGTAAGTGTCTTTCTCTCACAATGCACAGTCTCTCACAGTCCAAATAAACATGTTCAAGGATCCTGTGGATCAGGGCCACTCCTGGTGACCAATAAATACTGATGTTGTTGATGATGAATATATATCAAAGTCATATTTGAGTAGATAAAAACTGATGTCTCTTCTATTATGTTTCAAAGGAAAATCTCTGCCAGAGGAAGACTCCCAGTTCCTTCAACCTGGGCCCCTGAAGCGTGACTGTCTGTGCGTGTGGCTGTGTGTGCGTGTGGCTGTGTGTGCTTGTGACTGTGTGTGACTGTGACTGTGTGTGACTGTGTGGCTGTGTGTGCGTGTGGCTGTGTGTGCGTGTGGCTGTGTGTGCTTGTGTGCTTGTGGCTGTGTGTGACTGTGTGGCTGTGTGTGACTGTGTGGCTGTGTGTGCGTGTGTGCTTGTGTGCTTGTGGCTGTGTGTGCTTGTGACTGTGTGTGACTGTGTGGCTGTGTGTGCGTGTGGCTGTGTGTGCGTGTGTGCTTGTGTGCTTGTGGCTGTGTGTGACTGTGTGGCTGTGTGTGTGCGTGTGGCTGTGTGTGTGCGTGTGTGCTTGTGGCTGTGTGTGCTTGTGGCTGTGTGTGCTTGTGGCTGTGTGTGACTGTGCTTGTGACTGTGTTGTGACTGTGCTTGTGCTTGTGACTGTGTGTTGACTGTGCTTGTGGCTGTGTGTGCTTGTGACTGTGTGTGCGTGTGGCTGTGTGTGCTTGTGGCTGTGTGTGCTTGTGACTGAGTGTGTGCTTTGTGGCTGTGTGTGCTTGTGGCTGTGTGTGCTTGTGGCTGTGTGTGCTTGTGGCTGTGTGTGCTTGTGGCTGTGTGTGCTTGTGGCTGTGTGTGCTTGTGACTGTGTGTGCTTGTGGCTGTGGGTGTGCGTTGTGGCTGTGTGTGCTTGTGGCTGTGTGTGCTTGTGGCTGTGTGTGCTTGTGGCTGTGTGTGCTTGTCAATCAATCATCAATCAATCTTTATTTATAGGGCGCTTTTCCTGCACAGGGCAACACAAAGCGCCTCACAGTCCACACCACACAATGCACAAATCATCACCATTAAAATACAATTAAAAACACATATGTAATTAAAAAGCATTAAAATCACATAAGTAATTAAAAACATAAAAATCACACAAGTAATTAAAAACAATAAAATAGTTAAAAAACACAAAAAGTTACAACAATAAATAACAAGGTGTGTTAAAAAGATAAAATTCTCTAGTTGTATGCACGGGAAAAAAGAAAAGTCTTTAACATGGATTTGAACATTGACAGAGAGGCAGCCAGTCTCACATCCTCAGGAAAGACCGTTCCAGACTCCAGCTGCATAAAATCTGAAAAGCAGCCTCCCCTGACTAGTCCTGACTCTGGGCAAAAAAAAAAAACCTTAACAGGAGTCCCGTCCCTGCGCTCCTCAGAGTCCGGGCTGGTTCATATGGGACTAGCATATCATGGATGTTACTTTGGTGCAAAGGCCATGGAGAGACTGTACACCAGGATAGCTGCTTTTAAAGTCTAATTCTCTGGGCCATCGGGAAGCCAGTGCAGAGACCTGAGGAACCGGAACTAATGTGGTCGTACTTCCTGGTTCTAGTCAGAGACTCGGGCTGCAGCCATTTTGAATATACGCAGCTACTATATATACTAAAGGCTGTAATAGATATATCATACTTGTGGCTGTGTGTGCGTGGCTGCTTATGAATTATTTTGAGGAAATGTAGTTCAAACAAACTACAACATAAAGATTCAACATTTTGTTAGATATCTCTGATAGTGTTCGCTGCAGCAGCGATGGATAAGGACCTGGATAATAACAGTGTTATTCATTTGAGCAAAAAGTGATAACACAAACGTTGCCTTACCATCACTTGTAATTATTTGTCTTAGTAGGGACATTGTGTATATTTTTCCGGCTATAACTTCAAATCTTCTTTACATAATAAAGTTTCTTAGACTCGTTACAGACTGTATTTGTTTTCCTACTATAAAACAAAGCACATTGAAAGAGGTGAATGTATTTTTTTTTATTTTGAAATAGTACAACTACAAACATATTTCAGAACTGCAGAGTGGACGTGCACCATGGGGGCCACTGAGGAAAGCACGTTTTCAATGTCTGTTGGCACCTTTCACAGACGCATCAGGGAAAGGATCTGGTCATCAGCTTCTCTGGACAGAGGGCGTTCAGTGCTTCCTGAAAGAACCGTTATGACAAATGACTTTATATATTCTGTTACTTGTAGCTTTTCTTTCAAAGTGGTGAGTTTCCTTACAGTGTAATAGTGTAACGTAATTAGTTATGACAGTACTTTTTGCGTTTCGGACAAGCTTTACTGGAATTGTTTTTCAGTCCCACATCTCACTGTACAGCTCTGATACACTTTGATTTTGTCTTCATTCTCTGAACAATAAGCACATAATACAGATGTTGATTACATCAATAAATGTATCTTTATTTTGTGACATTGAGAAGGCAGCTTCCAGTGAGATGCAGCTTTACTTTCACATAATACATTACTACAGTGTTGTCTATAAAGAACTCCAAATATACAAATTGTGAGGAAAGCAGTAATGTATTACTTTAAATAACCTTCATGTAAAGCTTTGTTGTTGTAATGTATATGCATTACATTCATCTAATACATATGCACTGTAACAGATGTTACAGTGCATAATGTTGAGACACGTCACACTGCAATCTGCAACATTATGTTTATCACAACAGTTATCAGTGTACCAACTATAAAAGCAGTATTATTCTATAAAAGACTGGATTGTTTTTATCTCTTTCTTAGTGATGCTATCCTAGCTAACACCAAGCTGCTTCCAGTGTTATAGCTAGGTTACAACTGAGCTATTCTATGCTAATATTTCACTCCCAGAGTTTGTTGTTAATATACTTACGAGTAGACCCGACGGAGATGAACGTGCTGCTGCCATCACCAAGACGATGCGCGTTCATGTGGTGTGACGTAGGGACGGGGGCGGGGCTACTAACTCGCTCAGGCAGAAGAAACTGCCGGAAACGACCAAATCGCTTACTGCTGCTTTAACGTTTTTTTTTCTTTTTCAATCAATCAATCCATCACTTTTATCTATATAGCACAGTTCATTCAGAATGGAACCTTAAGTGCTTCACAATGGCAACATTTAATACCAATTTAAAACCACACTGTAAAAAAACAAATACAAAAGACAATTTAAAAAGAAATGAATATATATATATATATATATATATATATATATATACTGTATATATATATATATATATATACTGTATATATATTATATACATTGTTTTTGAAATTATCATTGAAATAGACTCATTTTGTTATGTTCCACCAATTTACGCCGCACAATGGTTACTTAGTGGAGTGTGTTGACAGCTGAATATAACACACACTAATAACGTGTGTTCTGGTTGGAGGGAGGGAAACGTAACTATTGAATAAACGTAGCTATTAAAGCTGATTTACATGAAGTCAAACAATGTCCTTATACTTTACAAAGCACTTATTATAATTATGCTAACTGGAAAGACATCACAACATCAAAACCCTATAGACTTTTACCTTCAGCTCACGTTTTATATGTGTGATGTTAGCCTCTGTGTTTAGAATACTGCCTTAGGAAAAAGATTGACGGACACATTTATATGAACTTTAAAATCATAACTAAATACAAAATAATGATTATCCATTAGAGGATTGGATACAAAGAGTTGACCATCATGTACATGTTTATCTGTGTCTGGTATGTTAAAATGTAATGTGAAGGTTTCAGTTAACGTACTGTGACAAAAACCTCTGGGACTACAGGTGTAAATTAGCACTGCTGCTACCTCCTGGTACAATCCATCTCTACCTTTGGCTTTTGTTTACTGTACACTGTCCCTGCCAAAATGAAAAATAATAATGCATCAGTTTTATATAGCGCTTTTTTGGACACTCAAAGACGCTTTACATGTCATTATTCTTTCTCTCCAAATACGGTGGTGATAAACTACTACTGTTGCCACAGCTGCCCTGGGGCAAACTGACAGAAGCGAGGCAACCAGTATGTGCCATCGGCCCCTCCGACCACCACCAACCATTCACACACCAGACTCATTCTAGGCAATGTGGGTGAAGTGTCTTGCCTAAGGACACAACGGCAGTTTGGCACTTTACAGCCGCAGCTGCCCCACTGTGGCTGGTGTTCCCAGAGGTTTAGTGTCTTGACAGCAGACAGTGGGAGTCGATGGTGAAAGTCGGGCTCGAACCCACAACTTTCTGGCTCAAAGGCCAATGCTCTACCAACCGAGCTACTGTCACCCTAAGTATGGTATGAACAATCATACCATACTATAGGCACTATGTTGTGCCTATAGTCATAATCAATGTCAATGTCAATGTCCAATTTATTTCTATAGCACATTTACAACAACAAACGCTGCCCAAAGTGCTGCACAGTAAAATACATCAAATACAAAAAAGGCTATAGTAAAAACAAAAGTATGTTCAAATTAAATCTTGAATTGTAGATCTCTTTTTGAGTCACAATTGAAACTGCATCTCACCCATTTGGTAAAGGACTATAAGAAAAACGTACATAATGTAAAAACACATCATTAGTGTTATTAGTGTTTCTGCATCTTTGAATAAAAAAATGACATTGCTTCCATCAAGGAGTGAACATTAAAGTGTTAAATAAAAAAAGGGGAAAAAATAGCACCACATATTTATCTAATTGAAAGCCGCTTCAAACATGCGTAATACAGACTCTGTTCCTGGTAATCAGTGCTCAAGATTCTGGCAACACAAGTAGATTTGTAATGACTTTAATAAAAGAGTAAGTGTACACACTACATACAACCCTTTTATGTCTATCAATTTAAATGATTTGCTTTGTATGACAACACATTTAATCAGCTAATACAGTATTAGTAGTAGTAGTCAAAATGCACATCATTGCCACTAATCAGCATTTGCTTTGAAATATACACAAACATAGTATGGTTATTGTAAACAGGGTCAGACAGTGATCATTGCAGCCAGTCATGATGGTCCATTTTGTTGGCACTAGAGCAGGAGACCACCCTCTACACTTCATCTCTTTGCCAAGTGCATGCAATAATCCTGTCATAGTCTAGAATTGCAAAACCCTTCAGGAATACTTTTTTTGTGTGCTTTTTTTTTCTCTTTTTTTCTCTCCTGCCTCCGTGCTCTGAGCATCTCCTGCTGGTGTCAGAGAGCGGGGGTGGGGACTTCTCTTGACACCGCACTGTACATCTGTGTGTGTGTATTATGAAAGACAAACATGGGAGCGTGGCGTGGGTGTTTTTTCGCAACGCTCACCCTAATGCTTATAACTGGAGTAAAATGCTTTTGTGTTACTGGCACTCATTAGAAGCCATGAAGAAGCACAAAAAAAAACTGGGAAATTGGAAGGAGAAGGGAAAAGGTGGTGGGTGGGCAATGTGTATGGGGGAGTTGGTGGTCCTATGCTTTTTGCCTGCCTGCCTGCCTGTCTGCCACACCCGGGCCTTGCATGCTCCTATATACTCCTCCTCCAATGCCATACGAGTTTATCTGCTGGTGTTACCATGAGAACGGAGTATGAGTATTGAGAGGGGGATGTCTCCAGACCACTGCAAATTCAACATGACAAACCACATTCAAACGTGTGCAATATCAGTTATGTGCTGCTGTGCATTTAGGTTCATGCACAATAAAAAAATTATAAATATGTTTATATATAGGGGCAGGATGTTGGGGTGTATTTAAACAGGCAGTGCTAGTAACAGTCGATCAAGCACAATATATGATGGTGATTGCGTTTTAAGTAAGACACTTCAGGGTGGGGTTCCTGTTCATGCCATTGGGAGGATGTGGAAGAATCAGTAGAGAGGTGGTGATGGAGCGTGTGTGTGCGTGTGTGTAGGGGGGCCAACATCACTGAGAAAGAGGAGGAGAGAGCCGGCGAGGGTGGGGTTTATGGGGTGGGATCGGCCAAGTCCCTGTGAGCGGCGCGAGTGAAAAAGAGATACAAGGGAAAAGCCAGTGGCTGAAGAGAAGCGTGCAAACTGGGATGAGTAGTACATGCACCGGGCGACTTCTTAGCTGTTGATACACAGCCTCCATCCCCAGCGAGAGAGACTGTGCGCACCAGAGAGAGTGAGAGAGAGAAAGAGCGTGTGTGAGTTGGAAGAGAGAAAGAATCTTGAAGAAATAAGAAAAGGAACAAAGCAAGGGACTAAAACTACAACTATGCTGTGCTGCATAAGAAGAACCAAGCCGGTAAAGTATCTATTTCAATGTCTTTTAGAGCTTGCCGTAAAGTTTGTAGTTTTTGGAGGGATTAACCCACAAACGGCGTGGTCTGCTTTGCTTCCAGACACGCCTAGTTAATGTGATTATCCTGCATGAGTGGATGTTGCCACAATATCTCCTTTAAGACTTTAATTGGTGTCAGGGATCAACATCCACACCAAATGAACAGCAACATTAGCGCATTATTGCTTATTGTCTAATATTCAAAGTGTGTATAAAAAAAAACTCATGCCTTCTTCCACTACAGGGATGAGTGCCCATAATGAATCTATGTAAAGCTTCCTTAATTAACAAATAAACACAAATACTAATATCTTCATTGAGCAGAAATGTTAGCAGCACTAAAGTAATTTTCCACAGTGAGGGAGAGTGAAATAGAAAAAAAAGGGTGGGGTAAGGACTGAGTGAGAAGCACCATCGTGTCAGTGCCCTCTGGGGAGTACAATGGGAATAAATGAGTTAAAAGGATTATCATAGCCCTCTAGCTTCATAAGTGGACACTGTCAATGGAGGTGACTATGAAGTGTGCACTTGTTTTAAAGGGTGTGAAAGCGGGCACATTGGGTGGTTTCAGATAGATGGATAGGTTTTTTTATCGTACAAAATTTGAATGGGAAAATCACTGTGTAGGTAAACTAAATGATTGATTTAACACACATGGGCTTCTGTAATTGCTTCCTAAATGACAGCTTGGATGAGTCATATCAGCTTTGGAGACAATAAGAGAAAGAAAAAGCATGCAAGGCTTGCCGATTTGACAGACATGCCGGTTGTGCTCTGGCAGGCGCAAAAGTATATGTAGGTAGTGGCGAGAATAGGTGAGAATGGGAGATGGCAAAGGTGTGGGGGAAGGTAGGTTTTTTTTTTTTTAAAGACAGGCAAAGTAGAAACCGAGATTGAGCCTCAAAACCTCCCTGCAATTGTCGCCGTGGTGACAGGTTGAGCAATGGAGGGAGCAAGAACAAAACTGGGGGAAAAAAAAGAAGAAAAAATCCAAAAAGCCGGCACACGCGGTTCTAGCTAATAGTGCTACTGCTGCTCTGGCACTCTGCAGCCATGTGGGTGAGGCACCGGCTTTTTCCCCAAACGCTGCCCCCTCCCCACCGTGGACCCCAAATTTGTTCTACACAGGTGATAATAGACTACTCTACACCCCCTTTAAGTTTGTCCCTATACTCTTTTTTTTTATTTTTATTTTTTTATTTTTTATTTTTGGAGAAAAGTTTCATGGTTGGGTGAATAAAAAAAAAAGAAAATATCTAGAAAATCTTATCTTCTGTCATTTCTAGTCTGAACAAGTCTCCATATTTTGGATTGTGTGCTGAAATGATGTAAATTAAAAGCCAAAGCCAAAGCCAGCCATTTTCAGCCAATCCTCAAATTCCACCTCTACTTCCTTGTCTGCTCTCCTTAGCTCCACCCACACGTTGAACCAACATTGTTAATTAATCTGAAATCACAATAAATAGAGATCTCGCTTCTCTTCTTTCACACCTTCAATGATGCTATACAGCCACAGCCCTGATCCTTCCTACTTTTTTCCCCCCTTTTTCTTTTTTTCTTCTCTCTCCATCATAAATCCATTGCCTCTCTCGGTTGCCCTGCCCCTATGAGATCATGTGGTGATTGTGGAGCCTTTGTTCAGCCAGAGAGAACCGGCGTAATTCAATTAAGAGCTGCTTCCAAGGATGTTCCCATGCTACCAGCTTGCTTATTTGTTGTAATGGCTATTTTCTCTTATACCAATAAGGTTTTTCTTTTCCCCATGCTGAGCTACCCCCCCCATCCCTTACTCTCCTCTCTTCGCTGGCTGCCTTGCTCCCCTTTTTTCTGCAGGAGATAGCCGGCTAAATGGGTGTGGTACTCCGCTGTGTCTGCTTGTGCGAGGGAAAGAGAGAGAGAAAAGGAGCGCGGAATGAGTGGGTAGCAGTTTGCGCGCCGGGAATGAGAAAGAACGTGCAAGGGGTGAAAAAAAAATCGCTGAAACACAGGAGAAGAAAATGCACATCTATGGCAGACACGAGGCAGACTATAGTGTCTGGAATGGGATGCTATGGGAAGAAAGAAAGCCACACATTGTTGAAATTAGGTTTTAATAAGGCAAGCCTTTTTAAAATACAACACATTTTAAAGCAGCAAGAAAGTAGAATCCCTCGTTTTTATAGCGCCATGTTTTATTGTGTTTATCTAACTTGCAAAAGATGGTTGTAAACTCAAACGAAATCGCTAGATGCTGCAAAAAGCACCTGTTAACTAGTTCCACATGCCTTTTCTAAAGCAGCATTCATCAACAAAACCATTATGACAGCAGAAAGTCCTGCTAATTACCCCTTTTGCTAGCGGCAGTACATTTGTGCCACATGGGCGGAGTAAAGGGGCTAATAAACCACAGCCTTTCACTGTGAACGGACCAGAATACTAAAAGCAATGAAAAAAGAAAGGAAATATCTGCATTAGTTGTGGTTTTGTGGTTATTCAGCCAGTTTTCACGCACCTCTGCTCTCCTCCCTCACAAACCCAGCCCCTAATGGGCCAGAGATGAGGCAGAATCATGGGACAGTGGCGGTGTGCCTTAGGGGGATGGTGTGGTGTGTGTGTGTGTGTAAATTAGTGTGTAGTTATGGATCGGTCGGTGAGGCCATTGACTCTTGGGGTGTGGTTCTCACGACTTGACGCTGCCCACCCAAGGACACAGACAGGCAGCCACTACAGCTGACGTGGCCGAAGATGATTCATTAAAATAGGAGCATTTGCTAAACATTATTTGACTGAAAAATTAAGCCTTTTACATTCAGCACTTCAGGGGGAATTGATACTGTAACATTTAAATAAAAAAGGTTACATTTCAGTTTCTTGTTTTGTGCTGAATCCACACTCACCACCTTAATCATTCATCTTCCATTCATTCACTAACACTATCTCGAACAAACTGCATTGATTTTCTGTAGTTGAAATGTCGTATAATCAACTGCACCAAAGAGCTATTGTCTTTTACAAACATGTATTGCTCTGTTGTCAAACATCTTAAATGTGCATATAAATATTTGATCAATCGAATGCACAGTGTTTTACAGGCTATTACTTGGTGCAATAGAAGTCCCCAAACAAACTTTGATTCAATTCAATGCTTTGTCACCAACAAGAATGGGTATTTATGGGTTTCATTTAGCTGTTTTAATAATAAAACAGCTATAAGCCCCCTCCTCCTTAATAATTAGATATTCTATTGCTCGATTAGTCATCAGCTGCTGTAAATGGGATTTTATGACTCAACAGAAACACATACAAAATCAATCAGGAATAATGTAAATGTATAATTTGACTTTGAAAAGAAGAATAGAGCTGGAAAAGTGTTTGTTGTACTGCTAGTGTCAAAAAGGTCATATTTCTTGTCAAGTGGATGCTGATAGAATACTGGTAACAATGCAATGTGACCAATTCAAAAAAGTAACCCGTGGAGATTATTCAAAATTCATTCAAGATGATATTTATTACAGGAAAAGCTGCCCTGCCCTTGGCCAGAATCCCTCTCAAACCCATGGATAATCTGGATTCTTGCTCTGTGTGCTACCTGCGATATTGGAGTCTTGATTTAGTAGCTTGAGGCCCTAACCATCACATGCGCGTCAGGGTCACTGTGTAGGTCCAATATAGACCCCAGAGAGCAAGGTTCTACAGCCACCTCCTCCACTATATCCACCATCCCTGAGGGTCTGCAGCTCATAAATCCAGCCATAGGGGCCTTCATTTTGACCATCTCCAACACCAATCTGGTTCCATCATATAACAGATGTCAGGGAAAACATATCACGCCACCCTGCGTCTCTTATGGCTTCCTGTATTTACAATGATTTATCAAAAATCCAGTATTTTTGCTCTATAAATGTCTTTTTAAATTGGAGCTGGATTCAGACATAGCGGCAGTGGCACACCCTCTGCATTCTACTATACACTGGCGTTTTATTGTCTCTGATCTCATAGGTGCTTACAATTGCCAAAATTCGACCCAGGCACTTAACACTAAATAGAATTACTTCCTGGCTTTTTGCAATGACTCACACTGTTATATGATTGGGAATACAGATAGGATGACATCACCACACTTGGGCAATATGATGACCAGTTTTTTTACCGATATGGGCGTGAGTACGGTAGACATTACCATAGTCTGACCGCAAATGTGTTGTCATGATTTGAATTATTGATATTTTGTCTCATCACTCTCCTTGAAAAATGCTGGCCCGTCACTTTCCCTCTACTTTATATGCATCATGGGTGATACAGTGAAGCGCTTATAAATCACATGTGCTCAGCCATAACATATAGAATATAAGTAGTTTGTCAGGTTTCAGTAGACAATCATTTCTACCTATGCTATTTGGCTTAGCCGATATTTCAACCCTGGTCACGTATCTTTCCTGCAGGCGCTGTTCCACTTGTGCGGCACACATTTTCATTCATAAATACAAGAGCGTTTCCCAAAGGTGCTGGTGTGCGACAAGGTGCACCTCTCTTTAAACAAAGCCTCGCTGTTTGATCTGACTCTTAATTCCTTTGCACAGTACATTGAGATACACATATTTGCATTATGGTGCTAATGGAACGAGTTTTTACAATTAGCCTGCAGAGCCTTGCCTCTTCATTGTCGTTGCCATAGATACCGTACAGACATATTTCAAGCAATGAGTCTGTTTAAACTATATTTTGTATGCCTATAATGTGTTGATTTGAGAACGGACAAGGGACAGATGTAATGGGTTAAACATTAAACACACGCTTCAAATGAACACTGTCTCCAAAGGTTAATTAATCTAAATTGAAGCATGTCGTTCCCCGGGGAGTATACCTCAGCAGCTGTCCCAAATGTACAGGAAATAAATAGCTCCTTTCCACAGTACATCGCAGCTGACTCATTTGCAAATAGACGCAAATTCAAGCAAGCGTTTTGAATGTTCCTATAAAATATCTTCCATTCAATTTTCCCATCCTGATTCAAAGCAAATTATTTGAATTGAAAGACGGTATTCTTCATTGTATATATGGTTATCGAAATTAAACTTTAAACTTACTATACATTACCGTATTTTACTACAGTATATTTTACCCCGCATCAACTTGAGAAATGTATTGAGCAGAAAAAAGCCCTGAACGTGGCTTACCGTTCATAAGCTTGTGCAATATGTATACTGTACATGTTCAAGGCACTAAGAAAATTAATTTTTGATGTATTGTTCAAGTCGCTCTGCAGGATATGAGAATTTTCTTTCTGCCAAAGAAAGGTTTGAAACAAAGATCCACAAACCACTATTTAACGACAATGAATAATAACTCCACAATGGGGAACAAGTGTTTTCTAATCCGAGCCTTTTTGTTATTTTTCACTTTTATACATTTGAGGTTTAAGGCAAAACACTGGTTTAATGCTTTTGATTCAAGAATTGTACTTATGGACCATTCAACATATAGTATATAGTATTTGTCTTGTTGCCAGCCATTAAGGTGAATTTCTTAAAAGAGACATACAAGAAGCAAAACTGATTCTTTTGATCTTTTAATTGTGTTACAACACGGTCACCTGCATTTGTTTTTAGATCTATCCACGAAAATAGCAGGACATTCTAGCAAACATGCAACTGCGCTCCCTCTGTCTATAACCTCCTGTCTCATCTCTGTAATACTATGATGTCATTGGCTACTATGACATCACACTTAGAGCAGATTTCTGACTCTTAAAACAGAAGTAGTTCCCAAGTTTTAGTTTTGGCAATTTCTCAAGTGAAATTACTTTATTTACAATCGCATGGTTGTGCTTGCAGCCGGTAATTTTCAAAGTTTCAAACCTCCCTCTGGTGGTTGCATAGGGAGTTACAGCCAAATGGCATTTTTATCCTTGATACCTGTTTTTTCCTTGAACGTAGTACACATGATATAATTTCACATTCTACAGCATGAAATGACAAAGTAAAACGTCTCATTATTTTATTCAAAGGATAAGAATAATGCATTCTTTAAAGCATATGTTGAATGCTACAAACCAGATTTTCCTTTTTCAATCTGACCTTAACCAAGACATCACAGGGCGCTCGCTGACAGACAAGCACCATTTACAAACATACACATTGCTCCCCCTTTAAGCACCGCACCCTGCTGTTCCTGCTGCATCTCTGCTCCCACCCCCCCTCCCCTTTTGTCGCCCCGCTGTTACCTTCCACCCTCCCGCATGGCCACTCCGATTGCCCCGCCTGATTTACGACTTCCCATTGGCCGATTTGCGCAGGGGGTCAGGTGCCTTGCCAATCACGGTGACATACAGTCTTTCATTGCAGCACCAACCAGCAGACAGCCCTGTGATGAGTTAGCACTCTCTGGTTGTCACGGTAACCTCTGATGGTGGGGAGGGGTATGGTATTGAATGCTGAGAGGAGGGAGAGGAGGCAGTTCCCTAGCAGCAGAATGCCAAGCCGTAGAGAAAACTACTGTACCCAATGAATAGAGATGCCTCATTATTGTTCGATACAAGCGCTTACATTTTTACGGACTTAAAGATTACATTAGTCGTAAACAAAAGCCGCAGACATCAATGAATGCATTACATGGATTTGAATAGGCATCTAATCACATCTCAAGGACAGTCCTCTTGTGTTGTGTGAATAAACAGTAAATGGCATGACATGGGTTCTACTCCAGTCCAATGTATTTATTATGTGCAGACTAGAGGTGCAACGGTTCATCACTGATCCGTGATCCGTTCGGTTCAACGTCTTCGGTTCGGTACAGACGTGATCCGCGGTTTGATTTATGAAAAAAAAGTTGTGCGCACGTTGTTCAGTCCACACACAGCGCGGTCATTGCGAGCGGAGGAACGGAGATGCTTGAAAGCCCCGCGTCATTTAAATCCCCAGTATGAGAGCATTTTGGCTTCACTGTAACTACACTGATAATTAATATTTGACAAAACTGTCACGATGTGTAAGCACTGTGGACCAAGAAAGACATGAGTGAAAAAAGCGTCTCAATGACCGCTTATTGTCGCGGCATTTAAGCAGCTCCTTTACGCACAGTTAGACCGGGCTAAAGTCAACTCTCCCGCGCATCCTCAGCTGCGCTCACGACTGACGCTTGGACGTCCCGCGGAACCTATAATAGATCCATGAGCGGAACCGCTCACTTCATCACCGCAGACTGGGAGATGAAAAGTCTGGCGCTGCAGACACGCCCCCTCTACGACAGTCACACAGTCACACAGCGCAGGTACTGACACAAGCAGCGGAGGAATGGAAGACAAAGGCCCAGTACTAATATCCCAGTCACAACTGATAATGCCAAAAATTAAATGAATGCAGTGAATGAGGCTGGGCCCAGAATGGACCCCCTCCTTGGGAGAATCAGGAAGGTGGTTTAATATATGAGGGTAAATATCCTCATAAAGTGCCTTCTTATGTTGCACTTTGTGTTGTTTTTCATTAATTATGTTAAATAGACATAATTGGATGGAATATGCCATCCATCCATCCATCCATTTCCTTCCCCTTAATTCATTTCTAGGTCGGGGGGGGCAGTCAGAGTAGAAGCCGAGTCCACATGAGCTGTGTTTATTAAAAAGACAAAACTTTTTTTTTGAAAAATGAACCGAAAAATGAACCGAACCGTGCCCTCTGAACCGAGGTACGAACCGAACCGTGATTTTTTCAAACCGTTGCACCCCTAGTGCAGACAATTGACAAACCCACACATTGTCCTCTAGTGTTTCATTTTGTCACTAAATCTGTCCAAGTGCTACATAAAACATTGTGGATTCATAGCCTTGTCACCTCCAAACACACACACAACAGTCTCAATCCAAGCCAGTTATACCGGAGTGTGTCCCTGTGCTGTTATTTCATTTGACAAAGGTGCTAGTGCTACTTTTTAACAGTTGTTTGTGGAATTGGGACACTTGGCAATCAGGATCTACACTTTGCAAAACACCATTTCTTATCTGGTGAATTGCTGTTTTTGCAGTATAAAACATTGTTGCTAAGTCTGCATTTCTTCTTGTTAGATACACAAGCAAAAGGACTGCTTTTGGCCAGTGACAGTATTGATTTTATTATAAGAGCAGATCTCTTCATTATTAATAATAATAATAATGCATCGGTTTTATATAGCGCTTTTTTGGACACTCAAAGACGCTATTACGCTGTTTTGATACGGGTTTGGGGCCTTTACGTTCCCCTGAGGCTGGATTGCATTTTTAAATTAATTGTCAATAGACTTCTCTGTCATCAGAATATCCAAAGTGCACAACACAAAAGGTTAAAAATGCAGTATTATATGCACATATTCCATCAAACCATTTTATCTTCTAACCATGGGACAACCATGCCAAATAAATAACTGAAGCTGTTTTTAGATCCATCCACGCTAATATCATACGGAGCCCCCAAAGTTCCCACATGATACAAACATGTACCCCTGCCCCTTCCATTTAAAAGCTCCTGTTTTGGCCATGTTATAGTATATAGTTATGTGTAACAGGTTACCATTGCCCATAAATCAACAAATTCACCTCCTATAGCCTAGGCAGCATAATGAGTTACAGGCAGAAAGGATTTTTACCCTAATTTTAGAGATTTAAGACATTCTAAAAAAGGGAACTAATCAGAATTTTTAATTAAATTGGCAATAATAATCATCATATTTTTTCTTTAAACTTGGTATATTGCATTTGAGTGTAAATCCTAAGCTTTTCACGTATTGATTTGTATTTGTTCTTTGGGTTATACAAATGTAACCAGGTTTTTAACTGCCAACAATCACTGTCTACTAACATTTCATATTGGCCTCTTGTATTTCCGACTCATTGACTTTGATGGACCTCACTACAACTATTTTATGGGAAAGAAGCATGACCTCATCTCTTGCCAACTCTGTCCTACCCCCACATTGTGTTCAAGCTGATTACTCTATATATTTCATTTGACATGTTTATTACAGCTGAATTATGTTTTGATGTTTTGCTTTTGCTTCATTTTGTGACCACTATCACTGCACATGGCTCATTCTTTAATTTCATTTGATTTGTTTTCATTAGATTTTTAAGCCTCATAACACAGCCTGGTTTTTGATGGACAGCTTTGGAGCCAGGTATCACAGGTAATCTCATGAACCACTTTTTTCATTTAATTCTGAGCCTTTTGTGTCCTTTTCTCCACCCAGTCCTGTACCTATCCTTAGCCCTTTTTAGGATCTCTATTTTCACATTTTGAGTGCCTTGTATTTCCACCATTCTTTTCCCAGAAACTATATCCTGTTGATTTAAGATTGAGTGCGAATGTAGAAATGCTCAAATTTGCCAATGCACAACCACCAATATTGGAATTTGAAATTGTGCAGGAATCTATCCATTCAAACCAATCAGAATCATGAGTTAGATGTATTGTAACCTTTGGATGGTTTCAATCATTTCAAATCCAAATCAAAGATGGTTGGCAAGGCTGACCATGATTTTAGTTTTTTCTCTGGTTTTCTTGAAAACCAGATGAATGTTCTTTCCTATTTCAATTGATCGTAATGCATGAGGCATGTCAATTAAACAGGATTTTTCTCTTATCTGTTGCGCTGCTAACTAAAGTTGCCAACAAAATCTTAAATTTTTAGAGTTTGAAAAATGTTACTTTTTTCTACAAGTAACATTTTATCCCAAACATGTGACAAGAAAGTCCCATGTCTTTAAGTCCCTCTATTTCAATGTTGCATTTGAATATATTTGTAATGTATTGCCCTTTCTTTGCTGCAGGTGGAGAAGAACGAAGATGCCGACCAGAAGATTGAGCAGGACGGGACGGCCAAACCCGAGGACAACAAGGCTCACAAGGCCGCTACCAAAATACAAGCGAGCTTCCGTGGACACATAACTCGGAAAAAGATGAAAGACGGAGAAGAAGACAAGGAAGAAGAGGTTCAGGTGAACGGTGAGAAGGTGGTGAACGGCATCGATGAGGACGAGGGCGAGGAGGCCAAGAGCACAGAAGAGGCCAAGGAAGAAGCGCCCGCCCAAGAGTCTAAGACCGAGGAGGAGAGCCAAGCCAAAATCCCCGTGGCAGAGAAACCCGCCAACTCTCCGGCACCAGCTGCAGAATCAGCGCCATCTCCCGTAGCCCCACCCACACCAACGGCACCCAAAGAGGAGCCCAAAGTCGAGGAAAAGGTGGAGGAAAAGCCCAAACAGGTGGAGAAGGAGGCGCCCAAGAGTCCCACCACCACAGCACCTGCACCTCCCACACCCACTCCGGTCCCGGCGGAGGAGCAGAAGAGCGAAGAGAAGACGGAAGAGGAAAGACAAGCCGACGTGCCTGCTGCTGTTAGTCCCACAGCCGAGAAGGAGGAGTCTAACCAAACAAAAGAAGGTATATACGCTCCAACGCCTGCGACATTCACACTCAGCAGAAATGGGCAACAATGTAGAGGGAGGGTTTCTATTTGCTTCGGTTCTGCAGACTACTGTCGGTAATTGATCAAAGCGATATGTGAATCCATACACCAGGAAAAGCATAGGGTGTGAAATAGGCAAACATTGTGTGTAAAGATTGAAGAGACTAAACCATTACGGACATAGAATACCCTATTAGAATAATCTAATACGCCCCCACTGATGTAGACTATTACCCCAGCTTCACCCAGACTTTTCCATCTTCACATAATACCCTGATTTAAACCATTGCATAGTTCATGAAAATATCAAAAGATTCAAATACAATATCTGTTTGGTGAATGCACTAGTTACCGGTTTGGATAAGATTGCCTTTTAAATCAATACTTAAAATCCACAGTACGAAACTTTGGATTTATATAAAAGTAGGTCAAGTGTTATTGTTTATGTGAGGTGTGCGTCCGTACTCTGAGTGAGCTTGCAACTTCGCAAACCAGATTCATATCTTTCCTTGATAAATACTTAATCCTGTTTTTGTTTTCATGGGAATGTTGTTTCTTGAGCTTTAATCTTCCACATAATGGTATAAAAAAGATCTAGTTCCATTATTTTCCAACGTATATATGTGATCCATGTAACCAGTTTCTATCACTAGTTTTCAGATGCATGTACTTTTGGCCTCTGTCGCTTCTTTAGATCAACTTTTTCAGTGAACGAGAACGTACCAGCCCTCACTCAGCTCTTGAGATGTGACATATAACACATTTTCTTATCATATGAAGACAGCATGTTTTGGTCTGAGCTTTCCACTCCAAGAAAAAGAAAGTACTGTACTGATGTATTTGCAAGGATATAGGGCAGGTTCATGTAGAGAGAAAAACAACACAGGCAAAGCTCAATAACTGTGGCTTTAAAAGAGCTGTTTTATATAACTGCACATTGAATACAAATGTAGAGTGTTTCTATGTTTACAATTGTCCTGTAAAACTTATATGGATAATTGTGTAAAAAGTGCATTCACCGGAGCTCTGAAAGGCACAGCTGGGTCTAAACAGCCTCCATCAATAATGAACACACTGCTTTATCAAGAGTACTTGGGAGACTCAGTCATTACTCGAGCTGCATTAGACTGTTAATAAACATAGATGTAAAGATACGCTTGAATATTGTGCTTGGCTGACGCCGCAGGAAATGAATGAGCATTGAGCGTGGTTGTTTGGCTAAGCTCCAAATTATATCTGGGCAAATCACGCTCAATATTGGATTAGACCTCGAGAAGAACAGAAAGAAATGCAGTTATTGATGTTGTTACATCAGCTGAAAAGCACAAATACACTCAAGAGGAAGAATAGATCTCAAAATGGGCTCTCGAACAAACGACTGATAACAGCTTCTTTAAAACATCCTGAAATGTTAACTTTAACAAGTTTTGAATGGCTTTAATATTGGAGAAAAAGTGCTTGAATGCTGCACTTTTGACACAGAGAGGTTGGAGTAAAAAGGGAACTATTGCAGAAAAACACAGCAGTGGGTGGAATTTGTAAATGCAGAATATCATGGATCATGTCTCAAACAACACATTGGACGATGACGACAACCTGTGACATGTTTAAAAAATTGATTAAAGTACATTCCACACGATCGAAAAGGTGGTCCAGGTTCTACAAATAAGGCCTATAATACAACAAATGATGCTCTAAACTATTGACTTTTTTCCATTGTGATCATAAATAGTGATTTTTCCAGATGAATATGATGATAATAATAACAATTTCTTTTCACATCCAAAAGACACCACTCATTCATTCTTTACATAGTGGTGCTAAACTACTGCAGTGGGGCAGACTGACAGAAGCATGGCTACTATTCTACGCTATCCAATCGTCCGACTACCACCGAACGTTCGCGCTCACACCAGAGTCATACTTTGCAATGTGGGTGAAAGTGTGAAAGACACAATGGCGGCCTCCCCACTGTGGCACCTGGTGTCCACAGAGGTCTCCCATCATAATACTAACCAGGCCCTGTTCTACTTAGCTTGCAGGTGGAGATAAAAATGGAAAGATTACAAGTAAAACATAATCCCAAAGTAAAGTTTCAATGTGAAAGAAAGCACCTTCAGTTGTTCCATCTCTAAGTTTACTACTTGTTTGGATGAAGCAGGTTTTCTAATCTCTTACATCCAGGTATTTCAAACGCTGACTTCAATGCACAAGTACGGAGTCAAATAAAACAGAATTCCGATGAAATTTAATGATCGTGTACCGTCTGCTTCCATCCTGCAGCCGGTTGGAAGAAGTACCCTGCGTCTGCTCCAATAGATTTCAAAGGCTAACACCATACGACGTCTAATTATAGCCAAACCATTTCCACCGACGAGACCAACGAGTTTAAGAAACCGCTTAGGCGCAAAAAATCCTACAAATCCTACAAAATACACCTGACATGAACTTTATTCTTTTTCTTTTTTTTTTTCCTTCACAGACTTTGGGTCAAGCAGGTGAAGGTAATAGCATGTAGTGAAGAGAATGGATACTGAAAGAAAACTAAGAAAGTAGGTCAACCCAGGAAGCGCTGTCTGGCGTTGTCATGGTTACCACCTCTACGGGATAGCAGGCCGTGCGCCGAGTGAACCGCGACAGAGGCGGATAACAGGTGCTCTGATTTTGGAATGAATGATTAATGATGGTCGCGATCTCCTCCGGGAAAAGTCTGTCATAAACAAACACTGCTTGACAATAAAGTGCTAATTAGGAGACTTCAGGTTTGTTCACAGGCTGTTGAGGAATATGAATATTTATGTTAAGGTATTTTTATTTTTTTTTGGTTTGGGCATGGAAAACGCAAACCCTACATTAGAAAGTAAGTTGAATTATGCATGAGGCAGCAGAAGGGTGCTCTGCAGTACGTGGCTGATCCGAGTGGGGTACAGCCTCAGACGTCCGGCCAAGTTGTCAAAGTGAGTGGAGATGGCACTGCATATTCACACAGGCCTGGAGCTGTCTGCAGGCTCATTACAGATAGAAGGAATGGACGGCTCGAATGGCAAAGGTTTGTAGTGGCTACCTTTAAAAGTGCAACGTGAATAACTCTCAAAGACAATTTTAACATAATTCGATTGATAGGTACCTCAGCTTTAAATCAGTTTTTACCTATCTCTCAATAACCACTAATGGAGCTCCATGTAACTAGTTCCTGGGTCTAAAGTATATCTCTGTTATGAATCAGCTTTTTCAGACACAATTATGAAAAAGACAGGGCCACCCTCACTGGGCTTGTTTATAAAAATTACAAAGGTTTCCAATAAGATAAAGGCAGCATGTGTTGGTCTGATTTGTTCATGAACATTGATTCTTTTTGAACAGTACAATATGTTATTTGTGACAATACAAGTTTGATACCCCAAATTGGATTTAGTAAGCTTTTTGAAGAACTGTAATGTAACTGCTGTATAAAAAAGTTAATATAAAAGTTATTTGTCCTCATAATTAGGTTTACACAACTACATGCTCAAAAATATTGATAAAATATTACAATATAACGGTAAGTAACTGAATGAAGTCAGAGACCCCAAAAATAGACATTATCAACTCCCCGCTGATTAAAGCATTGTATTAGTTAAAATACAACCTATAAAAATTCAGAAAAGTCATCTTGAATTACTTGCGTGTCCCAACAGCAATATTTTTTTCTACACATTGGTTTCAATCTTGCAAATATGGTTTTAGGTAAACCTGCCATACTGAAAACTTAATCAATATTAGGATTATTTTAAATGGTCGCATTTAAAAAAAAAAAAGCGATCCCCAGTACCTCTCCTCAGTCAATTCAAAGATTAGGGGGATAATTTTGTGTGTATAATAATAATAATATGTTTTTATTTATAATGCACCTTACTACAGATCAAAATACAATACAACCAACAAAGAAAAGCATCAGGAGTACATTAAATATCAAAAACTAACATGACTGGTATGGTTAAACGCCCATACAATCCCTTAAAAAGGACGTTTTTCAGGCCTTTTAATAGTCCCATATCAAAAGTTGTGATCATTTTACCAGTGTTAAGAAGAAAAGTGACTGAACAACCTTTGCACATGAGAACCGCTGTCAATGTTGTCGCGTCGGCTTGGTACATTTTACAAATCACCATCATCCACTAACTCCTCTGTAGCATTTATCGCAGGCCATTAGACATATTACTTTGTCGGTAATAAGTGGTTGTAACTTACTCAATCAGGGCCTGACAAGCTTTTAGAGCGAGGCTGTATTTGCATCAGTCAGACGACAGGAGGAGGATGCTGTTAGCTTAAGATGCTCTTGTGGCTTCTCTCTCTCCGGTGGCTACGCTGGGGTGGGATAATTGCCGCTCATACCTGGATCATCCGCTATGACTCACACATCACACTGACAGACATGGCTTGAAAACATTTCTCCTTTGTCTTCCCGTTCACACTGACACATACACGCACTCACATCACCCCGATCTCCTATGCATGATGTCATCCTCTGTGCGCCCCCCACTCGCCTTACTGTCTATTAAAGGACTATGAGATCACCCGCCATGACATCATTCCTCGGTGCAGGCACTTAGCCAGAGAGCATCATAGGATAAAGAGGCTTGTGGTGTCATTTCTACCTGAAGTGACCTAACGTTAGTCTGGTGCACTGCAGACATGGGTTGGATGGGGTCCCTAAAGCGTATGAAAATTGTGGACCTATATATATCAAACTTTTTATAATAATCACCGGGATATTGATTTTGTTGTGTAACTGATGTGTATGTGAAGTACATACTGTATAGGGGCTTATCATGTTTACGACCATAAAAAAGACCATACACAGATTTCTTTATTTGATAGACCAGAACGAATAAACAATTGTGAAGAGAATGACAATATCAATTTCTCTGTTGTGAGATCATTACGTTTTATCTTATCTTAAAACAGGATAAAAACCACATTGAAGTGGGGATTGCGTATAGTTCAACATTATGGTCAAGGCCATTTCTAAAGGGACAATTTAACGATGGATTAGGTGTAAAATTGCTCAAAATGGTTCTGAGAATGGACATTATAAGATTGAGAAGAGATGGATAAATTCAAAATTATAGCAATCAACCAAGAAAAGTTGGTTCCTTATAGTAGAACAAATTTGACAATTCAATACTTAATATAAGCAACTGACATTCAAATATAGCAAAACAATAAAATAATATAAAACAGAAAGAACATGCTCATAATAATCAAATAGCATGTTGATAATATATGTACTACTTGTTTCTGACTCTTTATACCACATTACCTAAAACAACATGTTATCTTCCGTGTATATAAAAGTTTAATGGTGTTACCCGGATAGGAAAACCCCAAAAATAACTACAAGAGTCGGTCTTGCTTCAGAAAACCGCTTGACCTGGTTTCAAAACATTATTCAGCATCGCCCAGCCGTTCCCTGTGTTCTCCGGATTTACAAAACAAGACAAGAGAATCCTTGCCTCCACAGTCTGTCTATAATTTACAACCATATTGCAAAGCATACCTTGAACTACACAGTCTATAGTCCTATGTGGCATGTTCCAGTCAACAGAGGGTGTTGAAAAATGCAAGAGGCGTGAAGAAGTGTGAAGTTGTCTGCATTCTCCTTTAAAAGTGCATTTGGGAGACGTCCAAACAGCTCTATAGATTTATGTTGTGATATTGATTTAGGGCAAAAAGACACATCCTCCTCCATCCGAAAGAGGAAGCAAGGTATTGGATCTTGCTCCTGGATGGGTTTTCTTTTTCAAATAAAATACTGTATAACAAACCCAAACATGTGGCCACTTTACTGCTGCATATAAAAAGCACTGATGTAAAAACGATGTGGATTTGTTGTATAAACGATGACATTTTACATTTTTCAGTGAGGCAATCCCAAACACGGTGAAGGCTGTTTCCGCATAATTTTTCTAGTTACTTACTTATGCACCCAAAGTGAATATAAGCCTGCCTGTATCTGACAGATGCAAATGCGCTGCTTACCATTTGAATTGCTTGAGTAACAGATGCTTGACATTTTTGCTGATTTTTTTTTCTTTCTTTGCTGATTTTTAGTCTCTCTCGTCTCTTTTAGTCACCTATTAGTTTTTCCCTTCCCTGATCCAACTTCCTGTCGCCATTAAGATGTTAGGGCTTCACCTGCAGCAAAATGCTATAAAAACAGCCATGATGATAAAAGGCAAAGATCGATTTAACGCCCTATAGGGAACACCGTTATGAGACGCGTTGGCGCAGTGGTTTGAGTTTTGAGTGGCCTTTCTGATGAGTGGGATTTGCCTGTTTGCCTCCATGTGCTATATGAAGTCAACCCATGCACTAAAGCAGTCATGTCCAAAGCCATGTTCCAGCTTCTTCCCTCTGGCAGAAGATATCGCTCTCTGAGATGCAGGACATCACGTTACGCTAACAGTTTTTATCCACAAGCTGTTATCAGTGTGAACAGAGCACTTTAATGATTTGCACTTGTTTTGAAACTGTTTTAGTCGATCGATTTCACAGTGACATTTGTTTACTGTTTTATTTGTTTTATTTTTGTCTTTTAATGTTGTTTTATGTCTGTATTTGTCTGTGCACACTGGAGACTTTTGCTAATGTATTCCAATGTGGTTTTTTTTACTGCAAATGGCAAATAAACTGAATCTGAATCTGATGTCAAACTCAGGCTCGTGGGCCAAATCCAGCCCGCAGGACCATTTGTATTGGCCCTTAACGTGATTTTCCTTTATTACAATCAAATGGCAGCATATATGGTATTGAGATTCCATGACACGTTATACATAATCTATTTTCACAACAAAACGACCACATTTAAATTTCAAAGTGTTGAATTTATATTTGATCTAGTTTTGGTTAAATCCCAAAAGATAATCACCTTTTGTTTGCAGAAAAATCAACCATGAAATAAGAGTGAAACTCACAAATGTTTCTATTTCTCGGCTCCTGAACAGTTCCTACTTTTGTTATTTGGCCCCTGACCAACATGAGTTTGACACCCCTGCACTAAAACATGTATAGTAGGCAGCAATCTTGTAAAAGTGAGATAATGGTCGGTGGGTGGAGGGTGTTATGGTGCTTCGTGTGCAGTGCTGTGTCAGTCTGCCCCAAGGCAAGTATAGTACAGTATTGCTTACCAACAACAGTGTGTGGAGAGACTAACCCTGCGCTATGAATCAAGAATGCTTACTGTCGATTAACCCTTAGGTGTCATGGTGTGGATTTTATTTTTGTATATTTGTTCTATTTTGAAATTGGTTTTCTGTGGTTTGGTTTTAGTTGCTTCCTGTCTTGTTCCCCAGTCTTGATTGTCTGCCCCGCCCTGATGTGTTTCACCTGTGTCTGTGTCTATATGTACCCTGTGCTTCTCTCCCCTTGTTGCTAGTCCATTGTATTGTCAACGTCTGTCTTGTTTGTTCATGTCTTCAGTCTGTTCCTGGTTATTTTGGTTTTTGAAGTTCTGTTTTTTACCTTGGGCTTTATTTTATTAAATCCATTATTTTGGCATTCTCGCATTTTGAGTCCTCCTCCTTCCCACCACACGACATTAGGCCCCCAGAGTTTCTTTTTTTTTTTCAGAAATGTTATATGAAACAGAAAAAAGAAGGAGCCCTGAATCTTTGTGATATACTGTAAGGGATAGAAGTCTACATAAACAATAATGAAATTATTAAAAGAAAACAAATGTTAGAAGCCAGGCTGCTGTACGGAAAGTCTCTTGTATTGATTCGCCCATATAGCATTTTTATTAATATTACTAATAGGTTAAAACTGGAGACCCCCTTTTTTTGTTATTTATTATAGTTTCTCTTTTGGTGCACCAAAATCCACAAGACCATGAGAAAACTTTTCTTAAAGCATTTGTTTGTTTGTACCATTGTTTTGTTGGATGTGAAATGTCCTCCATTGGATAATTTATATTGCAGATTGTGTTTTTTTTCTGTTCATGAGACTACAGCAAGAGTGGCTTTAAATCCAGAACACGCCTCTAACCTGTTTTTTTCTCTTCTTCCCCTATTTTCTCTCTCACAGATGCTGCAGAGGAGTCTAAAGCGGAGGAGCCGGCCCCAGCAGAGGATGCCCCAGAGTCCAAGGACGACTGAGTCTTACCTGAAGAATGAATGAAACAACGAAACAAAAACAAAATCTAAAAAGGTTGCTCTTTGCCTTCTGAGAGTGAAGGCAGTCCGTTTCTATTTGTTTGTCATTTTTTGTGTGGCAATGATTTTCTCATGTTGGGGGGAGTTTCCAGCGTGGAGTTTTTTGGCTCAAGCTCATAATAAGAGAAAGTGGTGGTGATGCAAAATGATTGTGAACGTGTTGTTGATGCCGATGGTGAGGATGATGAAGCTTTGATTTTATTTAATGACACTATTTATGCTTAGTGATAGAACAGATGCACCCAACTGGACAGAGACACAAGTAAATGAATGCACTGCAAAGGTTTAGGTTGCAATGCATTTTTCTCATTTAACATTTAGGAACTGTTTGCAAATGCACGCACAAACAAACTGGAATTGATGCAAGTTAAGTTTTCATCTCCTTGAAAACACAGCACTAGACAATGACACATTTGAAGATAAGAATGTAACTCAGTGTTTCGGCTCCAGTTGGGTGGCTCTCTCCTGTATCCAAATGACCTATACTCAATATTGAGCTTGGTTACACCCCTTTTACAAACGTGTTTACTCACATAAGTACACTAAAGGACCTGTTGCCATTTTAATATATGAATATACAAATCTGCTAATATAGTACTGATATAAATTGCTTTTACATGACAATTTGTGTTCTGCCAAATTGTGAGAACAGTAGCATGAACCATCGAACCAGATGCATGATGGGAACTCTCCCTCTGAGAGGACTTTTTCGCAGTCACAAAAACTTAAGAGGTGTGGCGGCTTCTTTTTGATGTCTTTGATGTTGTTATGACAGTTTATAAGAATTGGAAAAAAATGCTCTTGCACTGATGTTGAAAAATAGAAAAAAAGTCAACAAAAAATTTTAATCAAAACAAAAAATAATTTTCCTATGTTTCAGTGAGTGCAATGTCCAGTTTCAACCTTATCAAGGAGTTCAAACTTGTAAGAAAAAAATGCGACAAAAAAATTCAAATGGTTTCAATGTCTGTTTTCAAAATAAAGCAAATGTGCCAATTACCATCAGCAGCTGTGATTATTATTATTATTATTATTATTATTATTTTATTTACCTTCCAGCAACATCCAGCTAAACATACCACCTGCAGACTAGCACTTCAAACTATAGGACACATTTCTTCTGTAATATACCTGTATTAAGGTACTATAGTTGATTTAATCGGGTTTTTAGTGTGAAATTCATGTGTGGGTGTAATCCGTGTACATTAAATTATACACACACACAGTACTGTATATTGAGTTTTCCACATTAAAAAGAGTGAAGCCCAGAGACTGTCCATCTCAGATAGTCTCAGTCTGCTGCCTCCACCCACGTGTTCTCAGCACTGACCTGATCCTGTGGACTTGGACCGACTTGTACCTGTTAAAACCATCTTCATCAACAATAAAAATACTCGTCTCTAAAGGCAAGGCTTTTCTTCTACATCGCTTGATCTACGAGGACATCTAGTGGTTACAAGTTTCACAGCAATGAGTTCAACAAAGGAAAAAAAAAACGGATGCCATTTATCAAGTTAACAGTTATTTTTCTGGCCGGTATTTTGTGTTGCACATTATATAAACGGTTATGTTATCTTGATCATAGTGCAGTTGGAATAATCAAAAGAATAAAATAAAACAGACAGGTGTGACATGTTTCGTCTATAGTGACACAACAGCATTTCTCCCAGAGGTCTCCCATCACAGTACTAACCAGGTCATGCCCCGCTTAGAATCAACCAACACAACCCAACATTTATGACAAAAAAGGTTAATCTAACGAACCAATAAGATAAGTCCTTTTTCCAACTGTGTGTTTTTAGGGTGTAGTCTAACGCGTTGCCTAAAGCTACACCTAGTGGTTAAACTAGGTACTACAACTAAAATGTCCCAGACAGTAAATAGTTCTGAAGTGAGATGAATAATACCGTTACTACTTTACTATCAATTACTATACTATTTGAGTTTATTCTCGCTAGCAACCTCAAAATTATGACTTCTATCTGCTTTGAGGCTTTTTTGACACAAGTAACTCAGAGAGGAATTTACAAGAAGAACACTGGGATCAAGTCTTTAATGTCAGACAAAAGGAGATGGTTACAGTACTGCACTCTGCCGGTTTGGGCTGTAGAAAAGAACATCTCTGTGAGGAACCATTCAGCTGTACACTTACACACATGGAGCCAGAGATGGACAAACATGAGCTTACATCGAGTCATTTAGAAAGACTGTACAAGCTTTTCCCCAGGATATAGCTCATAAGCACAACTTAGAAATCGAACCGTGATCGTTTTGTGTTTCCCAAACAATCAAGAGGCACCTAAAAGTAAATGTGTGAAAGTAAAGAGAGAGCCACTGAGTCCACACTTGTATCTAGAGCATGTGACATCACACACAGGAATCATCTACAGTATTGTGTGATTACATTGAACACACATTTGGTACCTACAAACCTTCCACAAAACCTTTTTAAATTGCAATTTGTCTTCAGACGTTTTGATGTGGAAATATGAGATTAAGTTTAAGCATTTGCACGATTTGAACTTTTTTTTTAATGTAAACTTTATAAATGAGACCCCAGACTGGTGACAAGGTGACTCACAGTACAGTGCCCTAATTTTTAAATAAAATACATTTATCGTGATGCTCTGAAATTTACAAAGCAAATAATCCTTAAATATTCAACTCTAAAATTTACTTTCAAAGCACGGATACTTTTAAACAGAGCACCATAATGTAAACTGCTTACTGCTTTGCAACAACAACAAAAATGTGGAATGGTGCGTCTTGGGTCCAGTCCCACTGTTTGGGAAACACAATGGTTTGAATTCATTTGATGGACAGAGTGGACTTCCGGTTTGAGAAATGTATATTAAAACGGCAATGAGGAAATCTCCTTGACACAATGTCAGATTATATATACAGAATTAAAGACATATTAACATATTTTGAATGTAGTGTATCTCATATTAATACACACACACACACACACTTGTTCAAAAAAATAAAATAATACGTCATAGTCATTCATTGGTGTCGAACGTCATCATTCAGATTAAGAAGGCTCCAGTAGCCTAAAATAAATCTAAAAGCAATAGTGGGCAAACATTTCCAGTTGGGTTTGTTATGGCTGAATACGGTATTCCAATATAGAGAAATACAAAATTTCGCTATGTACAAATACATATCTTCTTATCTGTTACATACATTTCCCCCTTTTTTATTTTGATTTTTTCTAAGTAGGATTTTGGCCGAGAACAGGAGATATGGTGGGATAAAGGCGCGTGGAAACAAAGCCACTGCTATAATAAACTTTAATTACAATCTGATTCAATAACTATTCTTGCATTTCGTTTTCAGGTGGACTGCTCCATCTAGTGGACAAAGTACTAACTGCACACCGCCATTAAGGATTTATACACAAGACAAAATAAACATGTTTGAACTGAAACCAAAGCGTAATTATTGATAGACAAGGTAAGTGCATAATATGAGAGATATTTTACTATATTGAATATCTTCATTGTAAGAGGTCAAGTCAAATACATATTTTTTACATTGTATCTGTTAAATCAGTGAGCTTTTAAGTGTTGTGAATGCAAACATGATAAATTACACTAATAGTCCAAAGGGCATACATAAAATAATAATAAATAATGTTTTAAACACTTTTTCTACCAGATGCCCCGACAATGAAATACATGTGGTGTTTATAAATTCACTTTTCAAAATAATTAATCACATGTAAATCTGAGCTTACGTTGTTTATCAATAATATATGGTTTATGTTTGAAATCCAACATATATTTGGCAAAACTTCCCTCATTGTTCATGAATGCACTGGTCAAACAGGAGGTTAAATCTACAATAATAAAAGAATAACATGATACAACTATAAGAAGAATTACAGTATACCAATATGTCTTGAGTACTTCTAGACACAAATGATTGTAGGCATCTTTTTTTTCTCCAAAGACACCTCCGCTTTCATTCCCATGAAGACAAAAAATACAACCACCCGACTCATCCAGCCCCGGGTCAGAGCGGAGGCCACTCGTGTTGTCACGCGTGCTTCCACTCGTGTTATCACTCGTGTTGTCACTCGTGTTGTCACTCGTGTGGCACTTGTCCGCTGTAGTGAGGCTGTTACTCAAACCACTGTTTATATCATTACATCAGTAAGCAGTGCCATTTGGAGACAGCACCTAAGGTTTTATATCATGATGCAAACAGTCCAGGGGAAGCAGGAGGTGGGTAGTAAATGGTTGTAGGTCAAGATGAGGATGAAAAGAAGGAGGAGAGGAGGTGGGAAAGGCGCTGAGGGAGGCCAGGGCGCGGCGAGGAGAGTGCATTAACACTTGAAGAGGAGGAAGGCCATGCAGGCCGCCATGAGCCACAGCGACTGAGAAACGGAGGTGGAGCTGTTGATGTCCCGGCCAGTCCCAGGTCCTGAGAGGGGAGAAACACAAGAGAAATGAGTCCAAATCAAACAAAGAGCCATCCCATCTTTTTCATGGTTTTACCCCGTGCAAATAGAGATTTTAGAAGCAGAGTTTGAAAAGTTATGGATGTTTTCTTTTGGGTTATACGTTCGACGAGACAGCCATTGGGCCACTGCGAGCCGAGTATGCCATCAATACCCAAAGAATGCAGAGGGCAAACACAAAAACACACTGTGACTAATGAAAATCACAACTTTTATGGAATTAACATATTGCAATGACTGCAATTATTTAAGTTCATTGCGAACAAAAGATGATGAACAAAATATCACTTGAATTAGGACAAAAGTCTCTTGATTTGAGTATTTTGTATTTGTCAATGGACCAAGCTAGTATCTTCCATAATTTTGCTGTGGCAAAGCAGTATTATCTGAATACAAATTAAATATCTCTTCTTTCTGGCTAATATGAATTATTTATATCAATTATTGTAAGCCAAAAAAGTCAAAATGTGTTTGAGAAAAGATAAAAACAAATTAATTCTGCAGTTCATAATTTTTGCAATGAATAGTGGATTTCTACAAGATTCAAATAATATACCATAAGTAAGAACTCACTTCTTATTCATGATTTTTTAAATAAGTAAGTAATTAGTAATCATTGCAATAATCATAAAAAGATGGTATGTTTCCTATGCAACAAATCAATCCACATCTCGTTTATCTATACAATTAGCAGTTTCACCACAATATTTGCTGCCAAGTCCACTTCGAAGCTTCATATCTCTCCAGTGGCAAATGTTGATGCAAAAACACTGCTAAAGAAACTCTGACTTTTATATATGAGACTTTAACAGCGGGAGCAAGGACACATGCAGGAAACGTTCACATCATCTCCACAAAACAAGCCCCAGCTGACACTTTTATGACTGTACAGTATCTACTGCTGCATGATAGGCCAACAGTTGAGTCATATTCGTTGCATCTGTAAAGGGCACATGAGGATTCTCACCGGCAGTTTAAAGGAGACTTTTTGATCTTTTAACCATGTTTCAGCATACTCAACAGACCTGGAGTTGTTTTTAGATCAATCCTTGCTGTTATCAGGGACTTCTGGCACAAACATGAAACTGCGCTCCTTTTCCAAAAGATTCTATCTCATGCCAGTAATTATTGCAGGAGGGGTTCGTCTTATGGCAGATCGGGCTGATGGTCCCTCTCTAAAAGAAGGGGGCCCGGAGGGTGCGGATCACACTCCTCAGCCTCTCCAGTCTACTCCAAGGTACTTGAGAGGAGATGCCGACTGATGGTCGAATCTCAGAATCAGGAGGAGCAGTGTGGTTTTTGTTCTGGCCGTGGAACACTGGACCAGCTCTATACTCTCCATCGGATACTCGAGGTTCATGGGAGTTCGCCCAACCTGCCCAAATGTGTTTTGTGGATTTGGAAAAGGTCCTCTGAGAGTCCCTGTACACTCTGGTCTGACTCTGGTCAGAGCTGCATACGCATTGCTGGCAGTAAGTCAGACCGGTTCCCGGTGCATGTTGGCCTCCGTCAAGGCTGCCCTTTGTCACCGGTTCTGTTCACTCTTATGGACATAATTTCCAGGCGCAACCAGGGGCCAGATGTGGTCCTGTTTGGAGACCACAGGATTTCATCTCTGCTGTTTGCAGACAGTGTTGTCCTGTTGGCTCCAACAAACCAGGACCTTGCAGCCGAGTGTGAAGCAGCTGAAATGAAGATTGATATCTTCAAATCTCAATTTACCAGTCAATCTATGTTCCCACTCTCACCTATGGTCATGAGCTTTGGTTAATGACCAACAGGATGAGATTGGAGATGGGTGAGGAGCTCAGTCACTTGGGAGGAGCTTGGAGTAGAGCCACTGCTTCTACATGTCGAGAAGATGCAGGTGAGGCGTGTCTATGGTGTCTCCTGTGGATAAGGATAGGTGTCTCTGCTCTGACTACTGCCCCAATGATCCGAATGGTTCACTGGGGCAATGGTTAGTTTTCTTCTTATGTCGGCAGTATTATCATTAGTGTGTCCTAAAGTGTGATAAAAAGATGATAATGAGCTCAGATTCCACCACTATTTTAATATAATACGATGTTCAAATAACTACTTTTTTGAACTCATTATGGCTGAGTGAGAAAACTCAGCACAATTACATTAGCCTTTATGGGATGTTATTAAATGTAATGACTTGGAGATAGTTATATAAAAATGAGCCAAATCTAAACTTTATTTATAGCACCTTGGCAGTATGGTTGCTGAGTGGCAAGTACTTCACCTCTTCACACAAAAATTACAATTTAATGATAAACACCAAAGTTAAACAATAGATAAAATTCTCACGATCAAGCAAAGCTCAGGATAAAGAGGTGGCTGTGAGTCATAATCCATCCATCCATCCATCCATCCATTTTCTTCCCCTTAATCCATTTCTGGGTCGGGGGGGTGGCAGTCAGAGCTGCACCCAGTAATCATAATCCATCTGATTATAAAAAAGAGTGACATTTGGATTGTGGAGACCTGAAATGGGTGCATGCTAGAGCTGTAACTAAATATTATCTTCACCTATTCTATATGAATTTGTCAAAAAAGGCTGAAGTGATGTTCAAGTGAAGTGATGTACAACATTCTATTAGGTTACATTTCATCATCATTTTTTTTTTTGTGTTATTTTGTTACTGCTCTGTTTAAGTCTTGGGGCTCATTTGTCTGGTTCACTTTAACTGGGCCAATTCTGGTTCACTTGGGGCAAAAATCTTTTTTTCTAGATGTAAAACACCACAAGACAAGTGAGCAAGTGTCTGTGTAGCTTAAGTCAGTTTGCATCTTTTGAAACAGATCTGAATGAAGTGAGGAAAACCAGAGAAAAAAGTGTGAACGCTGCCTTGAAACCAGACCTTCCTGCATATACTGTACTGTATCATTTCGTTATTTTGTTATGTATACAAAACAGTTAATCAAATGATCAATTCTCAAATACTGTTGCCAATTATTGATAACCACTTTATTGGTCGATTACTCGTTACGGCCTTGATACTGTAGGGATTTAGAGTTTATTAAGAAAGTTGGTTGTCAAACCTTTAAGCGCCAAAGTAGCAAGATTCCTTCATGACCTGCTGAACGTAGGACACACACCCCTTAACCTGCCGTCTCACAAACGCTTCCTGACATTTTTCTTCAGTCCTTTATCACCTCTCTTCAGTTTCAGAGCTCCACCTTTCTGAAAACACTCTGGTGTCTAAAGGCTTAAAAGTACTGTATAGAACCTGTTCTTGTTGATGCTGATGCTACTTAAACACTCACTATAGAGGAAGACGCTGGCGTTCTGGATGCCCAGTCGGTTGGTTGCCACACAGGTGTAGTTCCCATAATCCTCTTCACTCACGTTGGAGAAAACCAGGATGGTGGTGGTGCCCAGCATCTGGATGTTGATGCTCTGAGAGTTAGTCATCCTGTGAAGGCACAGAAGTAGCAGGAAGAGAAGGAGAAGGGAAAAAAGGAAATCACTATTGAACAAACCGCTTTGAAAAGGGAAATGTCTGAAGGTCATGGTTAAAGTCAGTAGAGTTGTGTATTATTATTATCATTTTATATTGCGAAAAAGAATCATTCATCTCGGGGCTAAGTATGTTCAGTATGTGCTCATTTCCAAAAGACACTATGACCCATTTGATACAAGATTATTTTCTCTTAACCAAGGTTGCATGTAGGCGATTGCACTTTGACCAAATGTAATGAGGCAGAATTATCTAACAATCAACTCTGTCCAGAACCATGATCTTTTCCATCCAATGAACTTGCTGACTCACGTAACATTGTGCACATGAGCTGAATGCAACACAAACAGCTTTCTTAATAACAGGCGTTTCATAATGACCAGGGCTCGCGTTGGGCCGGTCTGGGCACCCATCCTATCACCAATGGGCCGAGGTTCATTTGAGGTACTCAGCACTTAATCCTGCTTAATTCTGGGAGATATGAGAGTTTGTGCTGACAATCGGTTTCTGACAGAGTGAATTTACTTAAGAGGAATCATACAGTCAGAGAGTTAGAGCATTTAATTGACAGGAAGAGAACAGGACACCTTGGCAACGATGGCATGGCATAAATACTAGGTCTATGTACCGAGGCAAGTGATGCAATACCACAATTAAAGCTGTAGTGCATAACTTTGAAACCACAAAAATATGCTGTTTTACAATCCTTCTTACTATAGTTTATTTAGTTCCAGTTTGATTAAATCTCTAGTTTTCACATTTATGTATATTTGGCCTCAGTCACATCATCTCTCTCTCTCTCTCATCCAATCAGCTCACAGTATATAAAAGACACAATGTTTCCTAATAATAATAAGAAAGCATAATTTGTTCACATTTGTAACATTTTACTAAGAATCTTTCTGTTGGAACATACAGTATTTGATACGATATATTGAACAACAGGGACTAATAAATGGTTTTGTAAATAGTTTCTTTTACATAAAGATACAAGAAATACACATTGGGATCTTGTTATTGGAATGTTGTTAAGTTATTTTAATGTAGTGATATGTAATTCAAGTAATATGTGGCTAAAATATATTGTATTGAGATTCACCGTTGTCTTCTGGACGACGGGGGTTGTAAGCGGATGGGCAAAGAATACAGTAGGCCTGGTATGAATGCTACTTTGATTGATATGCTAAATACCAAAAGTCTCATTGTGAAACTGCGACTGTGTGGAAGTGTCGGTGTGTCTTATCTCCTGGAATTCTGCGTTACAGCTGGCTATGTGCAGATCTGTTCTGAAAGAGGCTGAGCGAGTTGGCTTGGTCTACGTCAAGACATTTCTCCTTGTACATGGGTAACAAGTAAAAGATTAACTATGTCTGTTTGTTGTGTGAGATTTTGTCAGGTTCAACTGTGGTTAGATATCAGCATTAACAGATCTTTTGTGCATTATAGATTGAAATTAGTGATTCACACATGAAAATAGTTTAAAATCATATTCGATGAAAGAAAATAAGAGACATGTTTTCTAACCTTATTCCTCCCATAGATTTTGTCTCATTATAAAACTAACATGGACGCAGCAACGCAATATGTTTAATAAATACAACAAAAGTACCAGTTTTCTAGAAATTGAAAAAGACCGATGAAAAGTTTTGGAAACATTACTCTGTGCCGAACAACTTTTTATGAGGAAAAAGGAGCAAGCCAAGAGGTCAAGCACACCTCCTCCATCTGAGCTCCAGCGGGGCGATAAGAGCTGATGTATGCCCCTGCGTCGCATGAAAAGTGAGTTCTACTGTTAAAGCCCCAGTGAGCGCACACACACAACACAGGAGCGGAGCAAGGAAACATATATTTGAATTTCTTTTAAGGATGTGATCCGTCAGGCCGTGTATCACTTTAGATTTTAGCCTGAAAAACCAGAGCTAAAAATTCACTCAACCCATTCTGTAGAAGAAATAGTTGTTGGGTTTGTGTTTGTCATTCGTGAAAAGTGTATTCAAATACCAATACTGTAGCAACAACAACCAGATTTAGTCCAAAAGGTAACATTGTATGAGCAGAGTCCAGTGGCTCAGATGTCCACATTTGAAGCCATTTCCACTTCCCTGAGCAATCATCATTTAGTATATTACTGTCAATATAAGAACACAACTAGTTTCATTTTAAAGTAAACACTTGACACAACAAATAATAGTGTTGACAAAAACTCATCATCTTAGCATCATCGTTTTAAATGTAAGACAGGTTTGGCGTGGGAATGTATAAATCTTGTCTTAAAAATGTCCACCGTCTGCCAGATGAACGTTGGACAACAACATTGATGGCTCCTGGCACAAACAGTATTGCATTAACTCGCCTTGACATACAGGTGGCAGCGTTTATCTACTGAATAAACTGTTCATTTTAGACTGGAATGCATAATTTAATTGAATCACCAGTTTTCCCGGACTCAACCCTGCTTCGCGCCTACTGTGCGTGCTAGTCAAAGCCTTGTCTCCTCACATCTCACATATTCAGTAGGACAGGGCCTGGTTAGTACTGTGATGGGAGACCTCTGGGAACATCAGGTGCCACAGTGGGATGGCTGAGGCTTTAGAGAAACTTCTGTAGAGCGCTAAACTGTTGTACAGCGCTAGAATGTTGTATATTGCTAAACTGTTGTATAGCGCAAGACTGTTGTTGTGTCCTAAGGCAAAACACCCGGTATGAATCTGGTGTCCGATGGCAAACCCAGTTTCTCTCAGTCTGCCCCAAGCCAGACTACAACAACATCATCATTGACTGTCTTTGTTCATCCACAGTTCCCATATTTTAATCCTGATGAACAGGAGAAAGGACTTTCCCCTCTTTACAGAAAAGATTATATGAAGATTTGATATTTTTGAAAGGCATATAAAAAATTCTCAGTGTGGCAGCTACATATGACTGAAAACAGGCTTATTAAGAACATTTACAGCAACATTGCTTCAGTATAATGAGTGTAGGGTCAAATATAATAAAATATTCTTCAAATATATTCAGGCATTTAGATCGATCACCTATAGCTACAAACATGCAATCATTGTGTATACTTGCAATTAGCATGGATGAAGCACTTGAAGCTAACCTGAAGTTAACCTGAGGAGACAGATGGCTTATTCCACAAACCATCTGGAAGAAACGCCTCTGTAAGGACATGCAACACGGAGGTTCTCTATGAATGACCAGTAAAACAGCTGCACACTGTGACCTGTTCAAGACCAGCTCTGAGTTACCAACTCATTTGCTGATTTACTATTTCACTGAAGCATTTACTTTTACACTAAAATATCTGTGAAGATGTAAATGTGTTATTACAAATGAAGCACAAACAAGCACAAATATAATCCCTCTAAATTTGGCATTAAAGGAATAGGAACGTAACTATTTTCTTGTAAATAAGACTTAGATCAAAAGATTATCCCAACTTCAAATACGACAGAAAGAATGGTGTGGTCGATTAGACAAACAACATGAAAGAGAGGATTACCAGAAGATTAATGCATCAAGGCATTGTATCCAAGGAAAAATAGTCTATTAAAAGTTTGGCTTTAGAACAGGCACTATTCAACTTTACTGAATGGATTGAACGAGCTTTTGAACTCCAAAAACTTTATTCTAACTGAGGTGAAGTGGCAGGTCCTGGTGTCACCGCTTCCTGTCAAGGCGAGATTACACATTCAATGAGCTTTGGTAAGAATAGTATTTTTTGTGTGGCATTAACACTTTAGTCAGTGTCGTGTGCATTAACAAGGGCGACCAAACTCTGTGATCAAGAGCGGTGCCGTCTGTCTTAACTCGCACTACTCGCTAGCTAAAGAGTCAGAAGGCTCCTGATTGGTCAATTGTTAAGGCTCATAGGCTCAATCACAATTGAAAAAAAAGAAAAATACATGGATTTTGTTAAGCCCAAAACACTGTAAACCCTGACAAGTAAAGGTTACCTGAAAAAACCATGGAAATAAATTGCATATTAACTTCACTTGAATTCTTTGAGTACATCCTTTACTTGATATTACCAAGTAAACTCAAGCGTTTGCGATAAAGTTTAAATTTGAACTCATGTCCCAACCGGGATTCATACTCGGAATCCTGTAGATGAGAGGTGATGGTTCTACCCACTCAGCCACCAGGCCACCCTGTAAATGACACACCTGTTTTAATCTACACGTCAAAATGTCAAGTGAGGCTTACTTGAACAGAGACAGTTCAATTCAAAGAAAACCCTGAGTATTATAGGCAAGCTTTAAATAAACTAACAATGAATGAGTAATATTCACTTACTGGAAAAAAATTATTTAAAATAACTTTGATATCTGAAGTACGATTGAAGTTAGGGTTTACAGTGAATGGTGAGTCTGACACAAACTCGGCTCGAGGAGTTTTCTTTCTGTAAGTCAATAGGAACTAGAGCGAGTTGGAGCAAAACTTCATCCATGAGCACTTCATTGAGCTCGTGGGTTAGTGACTATATACAGTCTACAGTTCGAGGCCGTGATTTCCAACTTCGCTCTGCCCACTAAGCAGACATATATTGTGTATAAGGCAGCTCTGATAAGTCAATTTAAATAGTTATTTTAATTCTGACTCCAGAGGGCATCACTGATAACCCAAAACTGATGAGGTTAAACTGATTAACAGAAGAGAGAAATTCAGAGCGCGCCCTCTGCCTGAGACAGTCACACAAACAACTCAGCGTACAGCATATTATCAAAGGTGACTATTTGTAATTAACCAGCCAAGCGTGGATAAATGATATTATAATGGTGCGTTAACATCCCCATCCAAGGAGAAAGTACAATTACGCTTCCTGTAGTCGTGCTGAAGAGAAAAAGCAGAGTAATATATAAATAAAATAAGGGCACGGAGCCAAGAACCTCCAGGGGACAAAACAAGTGAGACAGATGGGGAGTTGCAAAAACCAGATAATGCAGAATATT